TTTTGTCTCAATTTGAGGTTACACCCCATAGCGTGGCTCTGAGATGGGCATCTGACGGAGTTCCCAAACTTGTGATTTCCAGCCAGTCGCATGTTTACTTTGGTCGGACGTACCTCTCCACAGCTCGGTGAGGAGCGCTGCTGTCACACCGGCCGCCGTGCCAGGACGCGCCTGTTGATGTGTACAACCGTGGCTGGGAACACTGCATGTTAGTCCCAACACCAAGTGCAACACTGCGCTGCCTCTTTTATGGAGACCTGTGAACAACATGAAACACTTCAAGTCATTCAAAGTTAGAGCGGACGTGTCCCTGCAGAGAGGTTCACAGACTAATAAGGTTATGTACTCAAACTCAAAGATGTTCACCGAGACCTCTCTTGTGAAACAGAAAGTATTCCATATTGCACTGTGCAAACTTAATGCAATACTGCAAAGCCGTTGGACAGACTGGCCCGTGACATGAGATCTTGCCAGCAATCAAAGAGTAGTTTAAAAACACTTATCAGTTGTACTGAGTAACACAAACCTAAATTGAAGGCAGCCAAAACAATAGGACGTTTCTCGTCTTCTGAATGAGCCTTTTTCTTTCCCAACCAGAACACTCACTATCAAAATTTGTATGTTTTTAGTTGACAAAGAAGGTGCTGTGTGATCAATGAGGTTGATTGAACTATGGTTGATGCATGTGTAAAAATCCCGGACCACAATATTCATGCTTTTCATTTGTCTTTCGTGGACAGAGTGTGTCTTTGTTTGTGCTGTGGAACAATGACGATTGTTGGGCCGAAGGCTCGATGCAGCAGTCTGGTGTCAGGACATTGGAGGTTCTTTGTTGTTCCGCCTGCCCCGTCTCCCCCTTCCTCCCCATTTACAGCTCATTCTCCCTTCCCCCCTCCCAGCGGGCCAAAGTACACTCCGGACCTGCCATCCCTCAGCCGTCCACCAGATGCTCTCAGTGCTGCTCGGCGCGCATCCTCTCCCGCCAACACGCCTCCTGTCATCTGCCGGACCTTCACTGTCCACCGCTTCACCCGCATCAAAGTTACTCCAGATTCACCCGTTCACCTCTCGTTATTCCCTGTCGGATCACTACTGTCGCTGTGTAGTTACCTGACACAGAGTCCCTTCGGTCTCTGGAGTGAGCTTTTGGAAAACAAATCACTAAACTCGTGGTGCTTTTTCACATGTCTGCCTTTGAGTCCAGAACAAGTTTTCCTACGTTGGCATTTGTGACATCTGGATGGAGGAGAGACAATCACAAAAGAGCTCTGTTGTTGTAATTGATCTCAACATGCTGACTCTTGTCAGATATGACAAGAGCACTTTGTTTTCTTTATAAAAACAGTTCCCCGCGTCTGTATCCACGCAGAGTCGGCATTAGTGCTAGCCACGAAAATGCGTTCTTGTTGTGTCTTTTGACGTCTGATATTTCTGTTCTTCATCAGCCGGCTCCAGCTGTACACGAACCAGCTGTTGCGGCGTGTGTGTGTGTGTGTGTGTGTGTGTCGCTCCACAAACCGTTGCTGTGGCAGCTCTAAGAGATGAAGCAAAGAAGTGAAAGTCCGAGCTCAATGCCTGGAAACGGGCCTGCTGGGCTGGAGGTGGCCATCGGAGTGGAAACACTCCGTGGGCTTCCTGGAAGTTATAGAGCAACTCAAAACAGACAATTCCCACTAGGGACTCACAAATTGTAGAATCCTTGCATGTTTAACATTAATCCAATCGGGAATAATTTTCAGAATGAGGCACAAAATTACCTCTGAGTCACAAAGGAGCCTGAACGCTATAGAGCTCTGAGTCTAAAGAAGATTTTCATCTTCATGTATTTATCCTGCTTATTTATTCGATTTCTGTTAATTCAGATATTAAGCCCCATAACAATTAGTATAGTAGGTCATTAAAATACAATCAACGTGTAATCACATAAAATTGTTTTAGACTAGGACTCACACAGAGTGCAAGTTATTGTGCATCCACTTCATAAAAAAATAGTAAACATCATCAGATTATGGGAAGATTCAATGAAGACTAAAACGATTGTTAAGATTGCCACAGTTTAGTGACTTGATTAACAATGATTAATGTTTGATTGTTGTCATGTTGTAACCGCAGCACACTGGAACATTCAAAACCAAATGAACACAGGACGATAAAGCTTTCATTCATTCGTAAAGCATGAAGTCAGATTTCACTGCATCTTCACGTTTTTATCTGGGGTCATCCATTCTTCATTCATCCCGCTGGCTTTGTGGAGCTGCCGTGTTACGCAGAGACAACTCCTGCTCCGGGCTAATGAGCATGAAGTGAGACGTCCTCTCTGCACAAACTGCAAAGGCCACCTTCAAAGGAGACACGCGGCGCTCCAGTTCTCGTGGCCGCAGGGAGCCGTCTGCAAGGGCTACGTTTAATATTTTCTCATGTTACCATTAAACTTCTGGTAAAAGATTACATGTGGAAGGAGTTACAGTGAACATGTTTAAATGATCCTGCGGGCCAGATTTGCCCTACAGGGAGGATATTGGTGTCTTTTCACATAATTCTTGTGGTTTGTTCCCTCTGAAAGCCTGAAAACAAAGCTCTTCTTTCCACACTTTTCCTAATGAGGTGGCAAAATAAGAGCGAATCCCCTCAATTCATCTTCTTTTCTCTCCTCTGTCTCCCTGTCGTTATCCCTCTATCCTTTTAATACCCTGCAACAACAACAAAAAAGTGTAGAAATGCTAGCAGGCTCTTGTGATCATTTAAAGAGTCGGGGTCTGTTTGGACACTGAGGTCTGCTCAGTGGGACATTGTAGGGACTTTATTAGCCTGAATGCCTTTGAAGTCCTCCAGACAGCTACAAGAAACTCTCCTTCTGATCAAAGGAGGAAAGAGACTACGAGAAACAAATTAGACAAAGTACAATGATGTGCTCTTCTGCTGCAGAAGTACGGTGGGGATGTTTAGAGAATACATTAATTTAGATGTGAGTAATTGTGGATGTCATTACTGGAGTGAAATTTGCAAATGCAGTGAGCAATTCAGGAGCGTTTAATGTAAATGTGAGTATCAATCATCTGCGAATCACTTTCCATCATCACTGCGTGAACAAATAACAAAATAATTATCTGGAAATTAAACTGGATGAGAAGAGTGAGGTTGACTTGACTGTCTGCATCAATCACATGCGGCTCTTTACGACATAGCTGACATTAGCTGTACTTATCCACACAACTTAATGATGCGTGAAACGCCACACTGTATTAGCGAGGTGTTTGGGATTGGAGGTCTACATTTCACGCCACCTAATGCTGCCACGTGTTCGGCTGCTCCTTTCATTTGTCAAAATGAAAGGTGAAAGGATTCATGGGCTGGAAGCAAAGTCTCTTCGTTTGAGACCGTTTGACTTGTCTACGGACAGCATTTTAGATTTGTTATTTTAAAGGTCTTTGTATGGCAGGCAGTGTGGGAGTCATTTCATTGGATAATAGTTTTGTAATTCAGGAATTGCTACTGAGGGAAGCTTTGTTTTCCTATTTCATTTAGTTGGTTAACTACTCAATTATATCGCCTGGAAAGCTTTTTTCTACACGGCTGCGTTTCTAACCCTTCATCATAGAGTCAGGAATACAGTTCCTGTGAATCTTGTTTTAATAATGACATGTAATACTGAATTTTGACCCACTCTGAAAGAAAGGGTCCATTTTCTGAGCTATTTGGCTTCCAGTCTGATTCTGATGAGCCAACTCAACCACAGAAATCAGGACACGAATTAAGTCTCTTTTGATTCAGGAACAATCCAAATCTTCTAGTAACTAATTCACTGACAGATGAAAGGTTTTGTCAATGCCACGGTGCCCACATGTGCTCAAAAACGCAGAGGAGTCTCTATATTTCCTAACTGATTACTTTCCTAACATTTGGTAGGATTATATGTTCACTACAAATAACTCAGTTTTTTTCAAGAGGGACAATCAGCTGGGATCATCAGCTGGAGTAAGTGACCTCAGCTCCTCCATACAGCTTCCCTTTCATCAGCGGCCAATACCGTAGGTCCTTTGGTCCTTTAGTGAGGTCCCTCCAGCAGACCAGTATCTCTGCTTCCCAAGATAGATGAGATGACTTGAGAGCTTCTTGGCCCTTTGTCTCCCGTCTCTGCGTCACTGCCTGATAATCCAGACGTTACCGGCAGCCTTCACTTGATGCTTTATCTCCAGCCCGCAGCGCCGGAACAGAAGCGCACCAATATGGGATCCACGTCCCCTAACAAGGGATTGTGGGCCGGGGTGTTGGGATACGGACACTCATCAGCGATCAGAGTATCAAAGGTGAGCGTGTCATCAAGTCCGCTGCTTTATTTGTGTGGGATTGTGTAAAACCTTTATTTCAAAGTGATTGTTCCTTAAATTACCCGGGACATATTCACCATGCTCATGTTGTATCTCCAATGTGGTCATTTCATATTTCATGGCTCAGTACATCCTATCAGACGCTTAGTTCTGCCGTTCTTTCGTGGTAATAATAATATGTCAGAGTGTTGCATGTGGCATTTGGAATAATGTCACACTACCTTGAACTCGGCTTTAATGCGGCCACAATTAAAGTTAAAGGATGAAAAAAAAGCATTGATCATTCGTGTCTGCATTTAATCATGACCTACTTCTCATAAAACAAATCTGGAAAAAACTCCAGAGTGCCTCGAATAGATCAAATACAAAACAGAGGCGATCTTCCCTGCTCTCAATTCTGATGCAGTTTGCACTGCTACATATCTGGAAGCAAATACTAGACGGATGTAAAGCTGCAGGGTACAATCAGCTCACAGAAGAACCCTGTGAAGATGAGTGGCGCCTGTACAGTTGTTATGGAGGTTATCGCAAAACTCTTCACTGTTAATCTCACGTCAGCATGAGTACTTCAGATGTGACCCAACGCAGAAATAGTCACGTTTATTTTCTCCACAGCTGCAATCATTCATCACACGTGCAATGTAGTCCTTAAAGAGAGAAGATGACAACATCTTTACTAGTTCTAAACGTGTATTTTGCATAACTAGTAGTTATTATTAATCACACTTCATCATTACCACAACATACATCAACAAGTGTCAACGGCAAGAAATGAAAAACCCCAATTTCCAAAAAGGTTCTTTAATAAATAGCAGCAAACTGACTTTAAAAACATCAGCAGCTCTTTGAGGCAAATATGCACAACAATTAGGCATCTGCAGAGCTATTCTACCATTTACTTTGCTGCGGATCATCACCCTCTCCACACACAATAAAGAAGGGGCGCGGATGATTTTGAGTCACACTTCATTGTAGCTCTGTTTCAAAGTTCAAACTGGTTTATGCAACTGATACAAGTTGATACAAACATGCAGGAAGAAAAAACAGCTTGAAATGTTCGGACAACGTATCAATTTGATCCCACCAAGAATATGACTTCTGTCTTTTAGACTAAATGGCAGATAACAGAAAGCACCGCCCCCACCGCCCCCATCCCCCATCCGCCCACACACACATCCGGAGTGAACATTCCACAAAAACACAAACACAAAGATAGACCTGGAAGTGTCCGTAGGGATTGAGACACACTTTGGGGCTATCAGCTCATCCCTCCGCCCCCAAAAACATTTTCTCTCTCCCCGTTGCTACGGTGAGTGGTGACAGGTGTCCATTTTTACATCTTATCATATCTAAACGACAACCACTGGCGGTCCTGATGTGCCTCTGGGATTGCAGTGTCCGTCCCAGGTTTTCTCTTCATCTCCCATCGTGGTTTTCTTCGCTCTCCTACTGCAGAAACAGTATACTAAAAGCCATGACGACACAGCAGCAAGCCACCCAGGGACTCTTCCGCTCACCTGGGGGAAAACAACAGAGCAAAGCTCAAGGCTACATTGTTTAGCAACATTTTGTTGCAACAAGAACGTATGCACATATGAGCTTACCTATTCTGGCACACTTCCAGAAAATCCCTAGAATCCTAAAAAGAAAAAAAAAATATATATATATTACATGAAGGAATTATGGACAAAAAGAGAGAAAGAACTTGATTGTGCTGATAGTAAAAGTAAAAAATAAAGCTGGGTTTCATGTTGATATGTCTAGCTACAATAACTGTGATTCCTGTCAGGGAGACGACAAGTCTAGTCCTCTAGGGACAGCGGAGGCAAATGTGGCATTCCAGGCCTCTGTCCCTGCTCTAATGACTGTGTGTGTTTGAGTGTGCCAGACATATTAGAAGTGAATCATGGAGGTTGTACATCTAAGAGTAATAACAATCCAGTGATGATGAACATTTAGGCCTCCTGCTACTTCACGCGCTTCCTTCAGGAGCTTCCGATTCCACACTCACTGAGTCATGTTGGTAAGTTCAGAAATCAAATAAACTGCTCTCATATGAGCTTTAATACTGAACTATTTGGAATCAACTGCTGAAAGCAGAAGGTACGCTGATTATCTGTGTTAAACATAAATAAATTGTTCTAAGATCGGCGCATCACTGCACTGTAGAGAGCCCTGCGTGAAATTAGAGGCTCTATATCATCAGGTTTTACTGGGTTAGAATTAGATAAAGAGTGTATTATTAACACTAACAAGTTGGTTTGACATTGCATGGTGTCCCATTAAAAGAGGTCTTGAGGGGTCAAATAATCAACGCAAAGATTTCAAAGGCAAAGTATGGGATGGTACCCGGTCTTGTTCTTGTCCAGCAGGCTGGGAGCCAGCGCTCTGATGTAAGCGCAGGTGCAGATCAGGAGAAGAATCACTGTCAACAGTGACTGGAAGTTGAAAATGGCAGACTGCAATGTGAAAGAGAGTTAAACATTTAGGGTAGAAATGATTTAGTGCACTTTACCAGCAACAGCCTGCTCGTCACATGGTAAGCAATTCTAAACGAGTATGAAAACGAAACCATAGCTCACAAACAGCAAAATGAGCACCATATAACTTCGACTATAACCTTATTGAATGCAACGTATGTATTAGAAAATATGTACCATTGCATGTAGTTTACACACCTTCCCCAACTGTGTTTGCTTACGGTAAAACTGCATTTAATCAAGAATGTAACGTTAGTTTAGATAAATTGTCTGCTTTTTGAAGATTTCATTTCAATACATGATTCGGGGAATAGTCCAGTTGCATACTTTATTTACAATATGCATTTTTCTTGCAAGTGCATAAACAACAACCTCTAAACCCTAATTAATCAATAATATTTAACCGAGCAGAAACCCAAAGAACGATGCTGCAACTACGTGGCACACAGCTCGTAACATCGCGACGCTCGCGATCCAACACGCTCATTAGTTTGTGGTAATGTAGCTCGGACTTTCTCACCAAACAACTCGCACTACGAGGGCCTTGGCCATATGTGCTATTTTTATTTATCAACAGAAACATACATGTAACTAATCGGTTGCTTTTCTAAACTTTTAGCATATTTAGCTATCCAATGCTAACGGGCTATTTTAGCATTTCATATACGTCCTGCGTCACGCCGAATGTTCGCTTTTGCTTTCGTCACACTCGTTTTCCAACACACACTACACGAAGAACGTGTTACGCTATATGCTTAATATAAGCTGTAAAAGGGAAGATCCACTTCATTTATAAAAACAAGCTTACCATGTTTGATCTGAGTCAAAGCCACATCACATTTCCTGCTGGCTTGACGTACGTAACGTGACCATAGAGGTTTACGTGACGTAATCACGTACTGCACCGCTGATTCGCTGATACAGCAGCAGTCGGAGGTGGAACCCTGTCTGGGAGAACAGCAACATTAGCGTTAGTGATTGAAGTTTCATACAAAAATGCCATCGTCTGGACGCTGCAGTAGTTAGACCATACAGTACCGTAAGTGTTTTGAGAATGTTAAAAAATATATTCTCAATGTATTCTGTCAAATAAAACTTCATGAAGCATGTAGTATCTGTAACGTTATTGTAGGTATTGCTGTTCCTTATTCTGTTAGAAATACAGTTAGAGAGCACACGGCACGTGTAGAACCCGGAAGTTGTCTAACTTTAAATAATCGATACCGTCTGTAATACTATATCTGTATTATACGGTACAAAAAACAAGAGCTTGCTTGAATAGTATAGTGTTAGTGGAAACTGAGGATGGCCATTCTTTCTTTTTAGATTTTACAATGAAATAATTTAAATATATCCTTGACATTTCATGAGGCATTTTGTAATATTGTTTTAGACAAATGCTTTACAAAGTTGCTACTACTTCTATGATCAAACCTACAGAAATATTTGACTGATATTCACAGGAGCATAGCCTAAGAGATCCCACCCGTGTTTTTGGTGATGTGAGACTGACATTTCTGGGGTTCACTTCCTCCTCCAACCAAACATTGCAGCGTCTTGATTAGATTGAGTCATAAATCCCCATCAACTTCTTCCTTCACAGAATCTGCATGTGAGATATACATCTGTGAGATTACAAAACATTAATAATGTTTTGCTGTTTTTCCCTGTTATTGTTATTAGTGATACCTGAGGTTTGAGTTCACTGCTGTCTGACCTGGCTCACTCCTTCCATTATTGCTGATTTATTTGCAAGCAACTAGTAAAAAAGGTTCTGTACTGAAGTGTTTTATTGACTAAAGTAATGTTGGTTCTTTGTGGGATTTATTGATGGAAATGGAAGCGCTGCACTAGAGCATCTAGCGTTCTCTTTCTGCGAACAATGACAACATTGGCTCGCAGGACCATATAAATTCCCTTAATTTACCCTGCCAGCAGGAGCCCTGGCTCTGCTGTTCAGCTGCCGCTCCTGCATCCTCTTTTCACCCCATTTCCCCCAAAAGACTCCTTTTAATCCCGACCACAATTGCATTGGAGGAAGCATGGAGGGAAAGCCCAGTGAAAGTACAGTGAGAGAGGACTGGCTTAATTGTCCGAGCCCATTTAAGAGACAGTTAATTACCATGGCTATTTCTACTCTGTATGAACTCCCTATTTAGAACCCAAAATGCATAATTAGATGCTTTTGTGACTCATTGGCCCAGTACTTCCTGCAAAGTTACGGCTTGCATATGAGAAAATGCTGAAAATGCTGAAGAAATGACAATGAAAAGGCTGAGCGAAGAAATTACAGGGTGAGCAAGAGAACAGGATGAGGACGCCGTGTCAAAGCTCTGAGGATTCAGGCTCCGAGGATTCAGGCTCCGAGGATTTCGGCGGTCCGGTGATTGTGTCGCATCGATCGAGTAAATGCAAAGGGAGGCCATCGTTTTGTTTTTTTTAACTTTGAAGATTTCACGCAGCTCTCCATTCCTGAAAGACAGCACTGTTTATTTAATTTGAGTGTCCTTCTGTCATTACCGCCGGGTCAGAGTCCCTGCACAACAGATGTTACAGTAACTAATGAGTAGCTGGGCTCACTTTATTAGGTTAAAGTTGGACCCTTCAGCTCCCTCATCTCGTTTCGTCCCGCCACACCCCTTCCTGAAGCACAAAGGGTCAACTTTAATCTGCTACGAGGTTCTTGCACGTCCACATGGGCGTGCACTGGTGTGTGTCTTCTGTATTTCATTTTGAATTACCTTGGCCACCTGCTCTGTCAGCGTATATGGCAGGGGATGCAAAAGAATAATACAACAAAAGTGCCGTCACGCCCTAAGTTATAGCGCAGTGTCCAAAGGCGCTCATTTTCATTTTTTCAAACATGTCCAGCTTGGCAAACTGCTAATTTAGCTGTCTTTTCCCCTCCAACCTAACACATTTTGCCCTGTAGTTAAGCAGGGAAGATGTCCAACTCACTTCTCGCTTCACGTGCAAGCAGTAATCACATGGTCTGGCCTGGACATCCGTAATCAAGTAAAAGTTTGGGAAAAGAAAGAAAGAAATGTGTTTGTAACTGATCTGTGGAACATGGCTGCGTCTGGAAGGAGACTTGCAGCATTGAACCAATTAGGCCAAGGGCACGGTGACATTTCCCGAAAAAAGCTTGCTCAATGTTGTATTGGCAAACAGTGATTAACTTTCTCAGTAAGAAGTATCTGTGAGAGCGGGGAGCCTGCAGGGTTCGCTTTGACAATTCTGCATCGGCTTGGTAATGGATGAAGTAGCTTGAGATGTGTCCGGCTGTAGTGAGCGAACACATGACATGAATGGCTGTCGTTGTTCTTTGATTCATATTGTCAAATATGATGGATCATGTAGTAATGTTATATATTTACAGAACTATCCACAAATATCAGCATCATCTTATTGTGAGACATAGTCTACATAGCTGCAGAAACTAAATTAATAAACTTCCATCTCTAGTGTAACAAGACGTTTTAAAAGGTTACAAATGTTGCATTTTCTACCCTCCCGTGGATGTTTTCTATGTGTTCATAGAGAATTATAAGAACTGCAGATGGTTGGATAAATTGTCATCATTGACTTAACGCCAACAGCAGGCCTGCAAACTATGTTGAATGCAGCGCATAGAGCCCAGCGCGATGAGTCTTTTAATTCCATTTTTTGATTTGCTTCTTGCAGGTCATGAGCGGTACAGTCAGACAGATTGCTGTGGCTACTGATCCAGGCACCCCGTACTTCCTGCGAGTGGACTGGGCCTCAGCCCTCGGTGCTGGCTTCACGTTAGCGCTCACCGATGGCAGCTCGGCTTGGCTTGGAGAAGGTAAAGACTTTATATAAGATATTTAAACACGTAAACACATAACAAATCTGTCACCACGTCGCTGAAGTCCCCCAGGTTTGTCGTGACTGAGCTCACGGGTTTCAGCTTATGTGATCCAAAAAGAATCACATCTTTTGAACATTGACTGGGTTTGTCACCAGGTTTACAATGAGTCAAGCTGCGTGTGCACCTGGCTGACCCCACCTCACAATATTGAAACTGTTGGTCCTCAAACAAGAGGGACAGCAGTGAACCTGTTCTCTTCTCTCCTGCGCTGCAGCTTACAGGTGTAGGGAGTAGATTCACCTCTACAAGGCTTGTCTTTGTAAGTGCAAGTCAGTGTTCTGTGTGTGTGTGTGTGTGTGTGGTTACATATGCACATGAGAACATTTTCTCTTGAAGGACACCTGGAACATAACTGCTCCCTAGTTTTCTATTGCTGTCCATCTGCAGAGTTGACAGGCAGAGATGGGGTTTGTGAGAGCTCTGTGCGGGCTTTTTTCTGTTTGATGGTTTAATTGGGACCCTCGGCCTAGTGTGAGCAGCTGTGCAACAGCTGACAACATTCCCCCCCCGGTCTCTGTGAATGCTTCCTTTTGAATATGCTTTCACATGCCACATAATTAATGTTTGCCTCTGCGGTCTGCCATCACCTCTTTACCCTCAGCTGTATGACTTTAAAATGACGCAACAATTAGATGCATTCCTTTTGTCCAGTTTCAGAAGATGAGGTGACAAGGGAAGCCAACAATGTGGGAGCCACAGAGGAGAGATATGTTGAGGATCTTCTCCAAGCGCTAACCGGAAGTGAAGGAGGAACGAGAGGAGGCGACGAAGGGTTGTATTCTTTCCACATCAGTCCAGATCACCGCCATCTCTCATATCAGAAGATTTGTAACGACACCTCGGTGAGCAGAAGCTTTGGTTTTATTTGACTATTGTACTCGGGGGCTAATTAAAATATAATGTATATAGACTGCTGAATGCCGCATGAACTGGGCATCACCTCTGACCCGTTTTGAGGTCTGCAGGATCATTGAAAAGTCTGGCCTTGAAACCCCTATGAATGCAATTTTTAGCTATTTCATCTTGGACGAAAGGTGAACGTAATGTGTGTTCCTGTGATGAAGTCATAGGAAGCTCCACCAACACCACCAAGTCTAAATAACTGCAGCAGTTGTTGCCTTGAGTTACCTGTATGTGCAGCACATCGACACGTCTGCTGTTCTAAACTGCTTGAATCTCTTCCCGACATATAAAACAAGGTTTGACTGGAACCGAAGCTTTCAGACTGCTGTGCTACGGTAGTATTCCCTGGAATTGATTTGGGGGGCTTTGTGTCATTTTTGATGGGCGAATCACACAGATCAATGAAACAAATATGGTTTAAGATCAATTTTGGAGCGTTGTTAGTGATTCTTTATTGTGTAGGTCCATCCGCAGCTCACGCTTGCATTCCACACCGGGCATTTCTCCCTTGTCACTGTTCCCTGAGGGCGAACACATCTAACGACATACAACAAAATAGAAAGGAAGTCTTATTCTTTACAGGGGGCCGTTGAAAAGATAAGGATTATAGTGCCCCCACATTAAAGCAGAATCAGAATGGCCCGGTGGCCTTTGGGCCACTGAAAAGCCAGAGATAGGAATCACTCAGTCATCCAATACCAACAATATAAGTCAGTCTTCTTATGCCCACGGCTCATAAACGCCACCCTAAGGCGGAGCCAGTTTGCGTTAAAGTAAACAATTAGTACATCTCTTTTTGAGATTGTGCAGCAACGTATATACACACACACACACGTATAGACTGCTGCGCTGTGGCAATTCTTACACGGTGCACAGTGAGTGAGTGGCAGGTTGGACTGAGTGCAGGTCACATGGCTTTCAGAGGATCTCGGTGTTACTCTCACAAACTCGGAGGGGACGCTGTTGCCTCCGGGCGGCAGGTCACTTGGGTTCCTGGAACTGCTGCAGGTAGAGGAGACCAAGGGGGAGAAGGCCAGGAGGTTAGGAACACTGCAGGGACCATAAAACCCTGATTTATGGGTGGGGCCGGCCCCATCTAACAATGTCGAACAACAGTTGATGAGAGCTTTTTCTTTTCTTTCTCCAACTCCCCCAGGCTGTCCTTGTGTCTGTGTGTGTGGGTTGTGTATACAAGTGTGAATGTGTTTGTGTTTGGACATGTGCAGACACACTGTTGGTTTTAAAAGTAAAATGTAGCCAGACCTCTGACATTTTTATTAAAATGGTAACTAACCAACTAACTACATCCACAAGAAATGATGATATTAAGAAGTGAAATTATGTATATTTTAAAGAACACGCATTTATGTTTTGCATGTTTCAAACACATACAAGGTTTCCCAAAATAGAGCTCAGTTTGATTGTTAATGTGAGATGCACAATGATTTATTAGATTAACTAACATGGCCGTGGTGGGGATACTGGTGGCGAGATCCCTGTGGTAACACAATTTGATTAGGTCTGATTTTAATGGAATGATTGAATTGTCAATTCATATTGACAATTCAATAGCTGAAATGAAAGAACTCTCCTATATGTTTTGGGTGGAAGTATGTAGAGATTGTGATAAGGAAAAAACGCACAAAATGATTGACCGTGGCCAAGGGTGCTGTTCAAAAATGTCGCCCATGCTCATATTGTTGCTGACAGTAATCATTGCTGTTCGTGCAGCCTGTGTGTGGTATGCACATATCTAATCCTTGGGGGCTATTTGCATTAAGTGCTAACTACCACCCCTGTCTAACACCTGCTTATTCTTCTTTCTTTTCCTTCTTCTCCCTCGTTTGCCCTTCATCTCCCAACACATCAGAGGTTTAGAAATAGAACATATTTTCCCCAGCCAGATAATTGCAGAGTTCAAAATGAGGCAAGTTCCCTTTGGGAATAAAAGAACAGAGGCCAGAGACTAAACAGGTGTCGAACTTAACCTGACATTAATATTTTATGATCATGACCCTCGAAGTTGTAATGATGAATGTAATTTGGGTGTTCGCTGTTTAACTGCTACTAAGCAGGTGTTTTACGTGGCAAAGACAGACATCATCTCCTCCTTAATGTGTGTTTAAATAGGAATCTGTCATTGGTAGAAATATGAATGATTTACTACAGACACTTTTACTGACACTGAATGTTCTGAGGACGTTGGGGCCTCTAAGTGGATCAACAGCTTCTGTACATCTGTTTAAAACTACAAGGTATTGACTCCCTAACAACTTATGAACTATTGGTATACCTTTTAATTTAGTCAGTAACTTAATTAGGCTGAATTGTGTCCATTGATATAAGTTGATTATACAATGCAACTATTGTTTCTGTTTTTGGCGTATTGTACTTTCTTTGATATCAATCCATTGTTACTTGTGCCGCCTCTCCTTCAGCTTGGTGCACTGTGTGGCGGCCGACCGTTTTATCGAACTAAAATGTCACTCTGTGTTTGAGGACCATCGAGCTGCACAGTTCTTTCGTCACATCAGCTTTTGATCCACAGAGATGAAGATTCTGGTGGTTGACGGCTGTGGTAACTGCAGCTGATTGTCAAGGTTTCATGTTTATCAAGTAGAACTTGTGTTATACAGTAGATCACTGGGGATGATGCCAGTAGTCCATGTTTTATTATTCTAACCCAAATTAAATCATCAAATTAACCCAAATTCTGTGTGAAATTATAGAATATGTACTTGTACATATTGAAATCCTGCTCTTGACAACAATATTTATGAACAATGCCTTGTTTAAACCAGGCACATGATCATTGTGTGTGTGTGTGTGTGTGTGTGTGTACACACACACAATGTGTGTTGTAGAGATAAAGGGATCATATTACATTTAATTGCCTCCTAGCTGCTTTTGATGGGAACATTCATTGGCCAGTTTTTACCATCTCTGTCATGTAAGTAGACTGACTGATTTTTTGGGGTATTTTTGCAGCTTTTTCTCCATTATTTGTGGAAAATCTAATATCAAAACATTAGATCTTTTTGAATGTTGAGTTCACTGTGCATTACTGTTACAGTAATTTACTGTAATATGTTAGAAAGCAACCATAGAAACTGCTGACGGGAATTAAATTAGAGGATAAGAGATCTCTTCATTAGGGTTTCTTTTTTGTGATTTCAAATCTACCTTTCATAAGTAAAATAATTGAAAAAGTTGTCCTACAACAACTTAATCACTTCCTGGCTTCAACTGGCTGCCACGACAATTTCTAGTCAGGATTTCGACCTCTTCATAGCACTGAGACGGCCCTTATTAAAGTTGTAAATGACACCCGTCTTAACACAGACTCTGGCAAAACTTCAATATTAATGCTATTAGACCTCAGTGCTGCATTTGATACTGTCGACCACTCAATACTTTTGGACAGGTTGGAAAACTGGGTGGGGCTCTCAGGCACGGTCTTAAGCTGGTTCAGGTCATATCTACAAGACAGGAACTATTTTGTTTCCATTGGTCACTTTGTATCAGAAACAACCAACGTAACGTGTGGAGTCCCCCAAGGTTCGATCTTAGGACCGACTTTATTCAACATCTACATGCTCCCACTAGGACAAATCATGCAAAAAAATAAAATTGACCACCATTGCTACGCTGATGACACCCAAATCTATGTAGCGCTATCACCAAACGACTATCGCCCCATAGATCTTCTGTGCCAGTGCATCGAGCAAATCAAAGACTGGATGTGTCAAAATTTCCTACAACTAAATGAAGACAAAACTGAGATCATTGCATTTGGTGCTAAAAAAGAAAGGTTTAAAGTAACCCAACACCTTCACTCTCTGTCCCTGAAAACATCAAATAAAGCCAGAAATCTGGGGGTTATTATGGATTCAGATTTACCCTTGGAGAGTCACATCAAATCAGTAACAAAATCGGCCTACTACCACCTCAAAAATGTTGCACGACTTAGAGGGCTCATGTCAGCTCAACACTTTTATAACTAGTAGGCTAGACTATTGTAATGGTCTCCTTGCAGGTCTTCCAAAAACTGTCAGGCAGCTCCAGCTTGTTCCGAACGCTGCTGCTAGAGTTCTAACAAAGACCAAAAAATGTGAGCACATTACACCAATTCTTAAATCCTTACATTGGCTCCCAGTATGTCAGAGAATTAATTTCAAAATCTTACTGCTCACATATAAATCACTACATGGTTTAGGGCCAAAGTATATCACTGATATGCTTCCACTACATAAGCCTTCAAGATCACTAAGATCTTCTGGCACCAATCTGTTAGTGATTCCCAGAGTAAATACAAATCATGGGAAAGCATCATTTAGTTACTACGCAACAAACAGCTGGAATAAACTTCCTGAAGATTTAAGACTTGCCCCAACTCTGACCACGTTTAAAACAAGACTGAAAACTTTTATGTTCAGCTTCGCCTTCTGCTAAATTTTACCTACATTGCACTTTTAACCTCTGCCTTTAATAAAACAATTTAAATAAGATTTTAATTTATAATTTTATTTGCTGTTTTTAATTGTCTTTTAATTCCTGCATTTTATTTCACTTTATTGTATGAAATGTTATGATGTGAAGCACTTTGAGTCTGCCTTGTGTATGAAAAGCGCTATACAAATAAAATTGCCTTGCCTTGCCTTGTAAGCCAGATTTCTTTTCCACTGACTGCTGCCCCCCCCCAGGAATGTCCGTATTTCTCAGTAGGTTGTAGTTGGTGTCTCTTGTATTCTTGGCAGATAACTAATACATTTCTAGTTGTGTCCCTCACTATCTGCACTGGTACTGTGCCACAGCACGCCCTGCGTCCATGGGGACATTCATGCTATCGGGGCTGGACTGAGTCCTCCCTCACTTCCTGCTCTTTATCTGGCCTCACGCCTCTGCACGGCGGACAAGGGAGCCGATCTGCGCTCCGTGCCCACACTTCCCATATCGAGCAGCCATGGCCGACCTTAAACACAGTCTCTTTGTCATCGCGAACACAGTGCTCACCCACTTGCTTCCCTGTTGCCTTGGACACAGACGTTATTTTGTAATAGGAAAAATGTTGAGAAATCATGATAATATATAAACATGGTACTTTAAGCGGGACGTTTTGGCAACAAATTAGATACATTTATATGCTACAGATCTTTATGTTTAAAATTACAATGGTGCTAGCGCACTGTTAACCTATGGATTAGTACTTATTGATTAATGAGGGGTTTTGCTCTCTTTTCCTCTGCAGTGATGTGTTGGACAGAACGATAATGGAAGCTCTGTGTCCTCTTTGCCTACACCGTGTTACGGTATAATTATCACTGGAAATGTGTTCTTTTGGCTTTGTCCTCCACACCTACGCCCCCCCCTTCTCCACGGGTTTGACCTTATGGTCTGGCAAGCTGTGCAGGGACACGCACACACAAACAGTCAGACCACACACACACATCAGACAATGCTCTAATGTTTGACAAACCTTTCCTGAATCCCGAGAGATTTATTCATTCACACGTTTTTGCTTAATCTTTTTTTGTCACTTGATGACTTTTTCAAATACAGTATGTCTCATCCCATCCAACATTTCTGGGATTTGCATCTAATCTCATTTTTTTGTGCATTTTAATCTCCCCTTTTCTGTCGGTCTTGGTTTATTGCGTTTGATGCATCACTATTTGAATTATCATAAATCAGCTGGTAATATTAAACTCTTATGTCTAACGCTGATAAAGCCTAACATCTTTGAATCAGTCCCTTGTATTGTATCGTTGGTTTATTAACAAAGTAGAAAAATGTGGCAGTGGGTGCTGAATAACACACAAACAGCCTGACCTCCCACACCTTGGCAGAGGCTGGCAAATGTGTGCAGATTGACCTTTAACTTTATCTCTGTGTCTCAGGAGAGAAGCAGAAGAAAAGAAAGGCAGCTTTTTATCCCAATTTTGTCTTTTAACAAGCGACTTTGTGTAAAGATTAGCATGATGCTTGCCTACATTTCCACATTTATATTTTGATCGGTTCATCCTTCCTTTTTCCGTGTTGCACAGTAAGCTAAAGGTAAACTCCTGGTGATGTGGAATTCACATGTTTACTTCTTCTCAGAAACCCCGAAAGAAACACAACCTTTTGGTATTTAAAACAAGGAGCAGAAGAAATAAACTGCAGCAGCAGTGTCATTTCCACTGTTAAGCCAGTCAATACCGCCTGCGCTTCCAGCAGTTTAGATCTCTGTATCTGGTGTCTGAAGATGGTTGTTAACCATGTTAACAAGCCGGTCAGGAAGATCGTGGTCTGGAATTATTGTCAGTGAGTGAGAAACAATTGGACATTATAATGGAGTGATACTTTTACTGTACCCTGCATATCAGAGCCCAAAGCCTTCACATTGCCCTCTTTTCTCACAGGGATGATTTAATGCCAAATGACTTTCCTCTGGACGGTCACCAGAGATCTCGAAAGGTAGTAAAAAAGTGAGGAGGCGTTTGTGGAGAAGGTGGAAGGGAGGTTTGTGGTAAGAGTTATCATGACCTCCTATCTGTGCATACAGATTGTAATGGGTGGCCTGCAACTGTGTGCAAGTGGGTACATCTTTGAAGTGGACATGATGACTTAAACGCTATTCAAACTTATGACTGAGCTAAACATCAGGCATTCTTACAGGGCCTCTTCCCTACACCAGTTCTAATTAACAGCGGACCATCGTGCACAAACACTCAATCGCTTTGTTAACTCACGGAGCTCAGTGTCACAAAACAATTCCTCTAAACCCCTGAGAGGAGCGCACTCTGTACCACTGTGACATCATGATGGAGTTCCATGTTTTTATGAGTTCTTGGGAATCTCATCCTCCTTTAGATCTTGGGTGGTCCCCTCTGTGTCCCCATCCTGTGATGTTGACTTTTGTCAAATTGTTGATGTCCTTGGTTTGATCGGACTGGCAGCATCGGTACTGATAAAGCATGCCACAACTGGGAGATGGTTTTCACAGAAGGATCTCTTAATCTATATCGACTAACCCAGCAGGTTTTTATACTATGGAAATGTGTTGGAAAAGAACAACAAAAACCCCAGATGATTTGATAATATATCTGTCCATCAAACTTTGTACTGAAGTCTGGACAAGAGCAAAAACATATTTTCCATTAAGAAAAGACGACGGCACTGTTCTTTGCTTGTTTCAGTGAGGAAATACACCCGGGTCCTGATGCTATTTCAGCCTGCAGGCTATCCTCTTTAGACGCTATGGATGAATGTGTTCCATAGATTGTAGAATATTTCATGCACAAAGCATTGACGATAATTTTTTTTAATTGTTTTTGGAGACAAAGGGAAAGGAAGAAAACATAGAGTAGAACGTTTGACACAAAGAGAAAATGATACTAAGAACAGGTTAAGCTAGAGAAGCTGTGGTGGCGATTTGAAGCGAATGTCCATCTGAAATGTTTGGGTTCCCCAGTGGAGGGAAAACAGCTGTGTGGCCTGCTAGGACAGCATCGGCCCAGGTGAAAACATGACAACTATTTTATGAGCGCTTTTGAAGATAGTGGCTTTATTACAGTTGGGCTGCGACCTTGACTGAGCCATGGGATGATTTAGCACCTTGTCACCTTCTGGTTTCCCAGTACATCATGAGCGGTACCTTTTTTGTGAGTTGTGGCGCCGTGGTGGAAATCTCCGTGGCAACAAGCAAAGGAGACTGCAGCTATACAAAAATATGTTTAAAATTGCTGCTTTGATGTGCAAACTCCCGGTCAAACAGAGTTTTGCTTCCTCAGGGTATTCTGTATGGAACCATTGGCTGTAGATTTAGTCCTTTTTTTGCCTCCTCGAAGATTTGACACGTCAACTAAATGTTCAGAAACTACAGATTTTTTCCGTTACCAGGCGAAAGGCCTTAGATTGGCTCTGTGACTAAGTGCCACAATGATAACTAAATGAGGAATGTTTTATTAGACCTGATACCTGTCTGTGATTCCAAAAAGCCACAAGCGAGAAGCAACAGAGAGGCAACTGTGTGCTCGCTTGCATATTTTACTGGTGACCAATGAATTCAGCAAGTCCCCCAGACAGAAAAAAATACAAATCAACGTTTCAGAATGTATCCCCTCTTCAAACAAAATGTGATGCAATGGTTTGTTACACCTCTTTATTGCCGTGCTTCTTCAGATGATGTTGATGTTACAAATGCATGCTAACTTTCACTTTAAACAGGTTGGGAAGCTGCTTTAGATGCAAACGTATTGCATTTACCCATTCATTTATTAAACACTATTCTATCTCAGGGTTGTTGTGCTTTTTTTATGCAGCTTCTCCCCAGGCGATCCTGTGGTAGTCGCAGGGTAGTCGGGAGGTATAAAATGCTATAAAGTGAGTTGTAGCCATTCTTGACCCCAATTCTCCGCAATGCACAGCAGGTACGTTATATATCGACCAAGCCGCAGAGAGAGCACAAACTGATGACAGCCTTCTGACAACGCATTGATAAAAGCAGCTGGATGTATGAGCCTCGGGTCAAAGTTGAAGGCACCATGTAATAACAAAGAAGTGTGTCCCAATTGTATGCCTATTGCATGCAACAGTGCTTACTTTGTGAAAGCAGCTGCACTACTTACTAAATGGTAAAAAGATTTGGAACGCAGCCATAGTCTCAAACCTGAACTTCTCTCAGTCGGCCCCGCTCAAAGGGAGGAACTCGCAGCTTATTCTTACCATGTGCCCTGACCTTTCTTAACTGTCACCTGTCAATGCAGAGGAAGACCGGTGGAGCACTGATGTCCTCCCACATTGCGGCACTTGTCAAGTTATCAGGAATAATGAAAGCCTGCCAGCCGGAAACATTTATGGCCTTAGATATGAATGCTGATCTTCATGCTCTCAAGTTCTCTTTTGATCTCGCACTCTCTTTTCTCCCAACTTTCTGTAGGTGCATTTGGGTTCTGTGGAGCTGCAGCCAGCGCCAGACCCGCTAGCGCTAATCCAGGAGATGATTGGCCAGTCCCTAAAGCACTGTACTCATCTGGAGTCCAAAAACTGCCAGCTGTTGGAAGAGACCCGTAGGCTGAAACGGGAGCATCAGAGAATTCTCCGAGAGTAAGAATGCGATTATAAAAGAAAACGATGCGATGGAGAGCAAATGTCATGTTGGAATGGAAAATCCCCCCCTTAAGATGTGCAGTGCCGGAACTTGTTTATTGGTTGTGTTGTTTGCATTCAAGCTGTCCTTTCTTTATACGTCGCACTTCCAGCTGTTTATATGCACAGCCATCACCATGTATGACATCATCACCGGTCGCCCATTGAGAGTCTGAAGGGTTCCACCCAGTGTTACAAACTGGGCTTGTGATTTCTGGGAACTAAAATGTTTCAGCTGTACGTCTTTCATTTTATGTATAAGTTCATTTCAAATAGACAGACATTGCCAGAGACGGAGGACGTGGGTGACTAATGCCTGGACAGGGTGGAGGCCTCGGCATCATTCCTCTAAGCCAATTCATTTTTGGAAGGCAAACTAACAAGAAATCCTCCGCTTCTAAAACATGCATTTGCCTTTCTGTGTTTGCGCATGTCTGTCCGTGTGCATGTGGCTGGCAAATATGTTGTTTCACACACATCGTTGTTGTTGTTTTCTCACCAGACTGGAACAGCAGGTTCGAGATAAGGAAACGTTGGAGGGTGATCTGTACTCGCGCTTTGTCATGGTGCTGAATGAGAAGAAGGCCAAGATCAGAGGCCTGCAGGATGCTGTCCGCCAGCTGCATCAGACAGATGAGGAAGGGAGACACAGGTCAGCGGACTTTGCTTGAACTGATTCTTTGATTCTCTGGCATAACTGGTCAGCGTTGTTACTATACAATTGTTAGCTCATTTGCTGTTTATTTGTTCACTGATAATTATGCACAAAGAGTAAATCAACTCAATGAGGTTATTGCCTTAGTTGCACACTTTTGTTTTAGCAGCTCAGCACAGAGCTGTGAGATCTGAGTGTATGACTGCCAAACGCAAGCAGTGGCTTGTTGTTCCTTTACGAGCCTGTTGTGTGTCTTCCGTCATTGTGGGCCACAGCGGCTGGAAGGTTTGATTCATCATGGCTGCTTACGTATCTGGCTGTGCTACCTTCCCTGTGGACAGTAATCTAAAATATTGAAAGATGATTCCCAGAATATTTGCTAGCAGTGCCATCCTCAAAGCTTTTTCCTTTTTACTCTCAAACTTGTGTTGTTTCTTTTAGTTACCATGACAGAACTCCGGACAGTACAGAGCAGACCATTCATCCATCTCAGGAGCCAACTATTCTCCTCACAGGTCTGTGTGTGTGGCAGAGTGCAGCTTTATTGTTTCCGTTGGACGGAAAAGCTGTTCCTAAGTAAATTTAATTCAATATTATCTCACAACTCATAAGGAAAAATTTAACAAACAAACAAAAGGAAAAATGGATTGTTTATGTTGAAACATCTAATTACTCAGAATTATATGAATTTTGGATTATATTTCTCTTTGGGAAAGGCAGCTGAATCGATGCAATTCATAACAGTTGGCAAATAGCTGTGTATTTGCGCGTTAACGCGCACAAATGTGTTTAATTTAATCTGGCAGGCGTGTGTTACGTATATTAAATTATTGATATCAATAGGATTATTAAAAATACGTGTTCACTCACAATGTCAATAATCAAAGTACTATTCCGCAGTCAGAGAGAACAGTGAAGGTTTGACATTTTGTCTTGGGAATTCCGTGGTCTTCGTTCTGCAGGTTAAGTGAGGTAGCGCGGGCAATCGATCCTCTCCTCCTGTGGGATCTAAAAGAGCCTTTTGTTCTTTTACTTCCCTGCACAAGAACCAAGTCCCATTGGCCAGCGCAGAGTGAAGGCATGCGCGGGTGTTGATAGTCTCAGCGACGTCGTGGCTGGATGAGAAGGGCTCCCTGGGGTTCCCGTGGCCCTTATCAAATGAGGCACCAGTGTTGTGGCTTGAAACAGATCTCACACCCAGGTGAGATTTTGACGCCTGATGGGGTTTTGCAGGATTTCAACCAGTTTGGGCTTTTTGAATTCCTTGAGGACCACATGGTGAAGTCGCAGTGTGTGTTTGATCACAGTGTGAGCTGAAGTATCATTAGGCTTTAGGTGATAAGATTAGTCTTCTACCTCTCCATATTTAGGCATGGCCGCAGAGCTATCAGAAGACTCATGCATCAGTCAGGAGAGAATAGAAGACAGATGCTTCAGAGGGCGATTTCAAGCTTTACACAAAGTCCTTATTTGGGACTTTCTCATGGGTCCCCTTTGCTGTTACAACACAATATGCACTCGTTGGTCCAATATTGCGCTGACTCATACACTACATGTAACATGTTTTGGTTGGGCCCATTACCGGTACTCCTTGTAATGTCAAAGGTCACAATGTGACTCAGAAACGCTGCAGACTCTTAAGTGAAACTCTTGAATTTGAACTTTCCTTAAATTTATTTTACTGTCCCATAAACCTGACAGTTTAATGTAATTGATGATGTAAGCAGGTTTCTTTTTTTAACGTAAACTTAAAAGCACGCACAGGCAGAGAATACACCCTCGGGGAGTCAGGTTCTGGGAAACACTTTTCAGTGAGTCATAAACCCACCCAGCGAAGTCTGCAGTGATTGCTTCAACGTGGCTGACCGCGAGGTGGTCGCAGCCACTTCCTGCATCATGCAAAGTGGGCGTGATGTCACAACTGCTGAGTCACCCCCCCCTCCGTACCACATGTTGCAATCTGCTGAGATTTCCCACTGATCAATTTGCCCCAACCCCCCTCCAACCATGATGCTAATACAGTTGCAAAGTACAATGATGACTTCAGCATGTTCCACCTTCTTAACCTAATTTTGCTAAACTTTCTCGAATGCACTAACGCACACGCACTCCTCTTCATTTGAGATGGATCGGGTTGTAGATTACGTATCTGGGTCCCTTTGTTTGCAGGCCAGAAGGGTTTCACAATGCTTTCTTGTGTTTGCAGCTTGTCAGTAAAAATCATATTGCTTATAATGATCTGTGTCGATGATTCTGCCCCCGTATTCTCTCTGGGTTCTGTGTTTTTAACATTATGGGTGTTCCCGGGATAGTTGTAGTATTTACACTAAGTCAGCTGTCCAACAAATTAGTTGTTGGGCGTTTCTCTCTTGGCCTTCACTTGGTCATAATGAAAACAAGCCATGAATTCAAGCCAGTGGTTTTGTTTTTAATATGCTAATGCATGTTATTCCTTCTTGTACGTCCAGCCTTTGTCTCGTAACCGTAGCAACCAATCAATTCACAGCCACCTTCAGAATAATCTGTGGTTAGAACAGAACAACCTTTATTTAGTGTTTGTGAAATTAATATTAGCATACATTATAAAGAGATAGATAAGATAGATAAAGTAAACTTGGTTAATTTAAGTAATCGATTAGAAAGCTTTAATAATCAGTCCAACTAATTTGTCACCAAAGAACACAATCTGAATGAGCCTCTGAGTAAATTCAAATCACTGTTTTATTAGCATGGACTTCAAAATAAACAATCAGTTTTAACTTGTTCTCTTTTCTAGTGACCTTCTAGGGTCGTGGGTAAGGCCGACCACTGAGCCAGCAGCCTCTCTGATCATCTCATTGATTCTGTTTGTATCTTCCACAAAGCACAGCATAGAAGAAGACACTGCTTGAGAACCCCTTAAAAACATTGGGACGCTTTCTGCTAATGTCAAAGAAACTAAGCTTCCTCAAGAAGGAAAGTCTTGAATGAGCTTTATATTAGATAAAGTCCAGTCTCCAACCATTTGTCTGTTGCACAGTTTGAGCCAGAATACAAACTTTTGTGCATAAAATGTTTTTTTTGCATTAAGAACTTTACAGACAATGTGGCCCAAGAAATTCCCCTTTGACTGGCTTGGACCATGTCAACCCCTCAAGGTGTTTAATGTGGCTGGGACCTGATAACGGAGAGTAATGACAGGGCAGTATTGAAGACACAAGAAGAAACTCGTTGGATAGGGAACGCGTAGGAAGCATTCCACTCCTGATTTGGTGACTCAAGATGGAAGAGATTGTGATGAGAATAAGGGGAGACGAGGCTTTGTGACTTAAAGGATGAGTGTTGCATCGGGAAGAAGAAAATGAACAAAAAATAATCAAATAGGTCAGATAGACCCTCTTCATCTCACAGAGAATAGTAACAGTAGCAATAAGTTCACCGTGCACATTACAAGTGCTATCTCCTAATCAGTATTGCGTTTGATCTAACACAATCTGTCAAACGTTTTGAATGAGCTTGCAGCAGTGTTAAAGGGCAAACAGGTGTGTTTGTGTGTCTGTCAGTGTATAAACAATCGTATGACCAGGCTTGTGTGGAATGTCGGATCTCTGTTCCCGATAAACGTCACAGGGTTTTTAGGTGTTGAGTTGACCAGGGTCAACAGAGGTTAACTGAGCCAATGTGCCATGAGGCTCACACAAATGTGCCACAGATGACACCAACGCAGATTTTGGACTTTGGCCCCGAAACCCCCAAATCCCTTAAATCTGGAGCAAGACAGCCTTCATTTTTTAAATGCATTTGTTTAGATAACAGTCAGACGAACGAGTGAAGGATGGTAATGTGCCTCTCATGTGTTGGATTTACAGTCAGCGGGAATTTCCAAATGAACAGCTTTGATATTTCATTCGTTAAAGATGCGCAGAGGCAAAGTCAGGATGTGGTGAGAGCCATAAAGGAGGTTCTCTGAACGTGTGTGTCTGTGTGCATGCGGTTCATATTCCACGCAGGTTGCAATCTGGAGTGCCATGGCATCTCTGCGGACCGGACCTTTTCCGATGAGGAGGATGAACAGCGGAGGCGAAAGAGCAGGTTGCTAAACAGCCAGAAGCCAGAGCCTCCACAGCAGGAATAACACCTCTGGTTAGTCATAACAAATGAACGCATCCGCAAAGCCATTGCTTTCCTCAACTTACACTTTATTTAGTTGATATCTGTACTGTGGACCCTCTTCACATACAGTAGGAGCACAAACTTTGTATCTGGAAGAGCTCCGATGGGAAAACAAGTAACTCATATTAAGAACGTGTCAACATGACACGAAATCTCTCCAGTCTTCTTTCTGTTAAAGAATAAACGCTTCCATGTGTCCCCAAAACCTCAGAAACAATGAAAGGACATTTTTTTCAAGCTTCATTTAATGGCCTGTGAAATGTTCATTTTAACAACGTTCATTTTAACGCAACTTTAGAAAGACTCGCTGGTGGGTCTGTTAAGACGTTCATCAGCTTCTGTTAGTGTTTTCAGACTCGTCTCCTGAATGTCCGGCACATGCACACGAGGTTGTGAGGTCCTTCCACATCCAACAGCTGCATGTTTTCTCATACTGACGCTGTGCAATACAATGATCACGGGTTCCTGAACGTTTGCTTTTTAGGACCGCTGCCTTTTAGGGTTACACATGGGCTCAGACTAACATTGCGTCTTGTTGGTATGCTGCAGCTGCAAGAAAATATTCTAAAAAGCTACATTTATCACATTTTCTCTCTATCTGTATTGAGAAAACGCCAGTGCAGCATATCCTCATTCGGTGGTTGCATCGCGATAGTCATTTCAACCTGCAGTGGTTATCATGTTGTCGGCCATTATTTGGTTCGTATGGTAAGTTGAGCACCTCTCCTACATTATTTGTTGTGATGCTTCTTTCAAATCCTAAAACCTCATAACATCCTCCCTCTGCTAACATGTGGGGGTTGGCTGGCAAATAAACAACACTGAAAATGACTGCAGTGTTTAGTGTCGCTCGGTTCAACTAAGAAATGACGGCAGTAGATTTTGAGTTCCAGGGAGAACATTCACTTCCTTTTCTCTCATTTGCACTCCTGTCCTTCTATCAGATTTAATTAGAAAGGTTATCCTTTTTTTTGTTGTTGTTGTTATTCTTAAAATAATACTTAAATGGCTTTATTTCTCAGCTTTGGCTCATACCAGAATATAAGTAGGAGTAGATCTCCATATTGAAGGATGAAATATAAAATATTTAAATGTGAATACATTTGTATTTCTGCAAAAATTAGAGCAAGTCATGCAAAACCTCCTCACATTACTGTGTATTTCCTTCTCTTCGGCTCTCTTCCTTCTCGCTTCCATCCTCCTCCTCAACAGAGACATCACCCACCATGAATATGATTAAAGCCAAACATCTAAAGTTTTTCTGCTGAAAACGTTTTTCTTGATCCCTCTCCAGTGGCCAGCTACTTTCAAATAGTCACCCCTCACCTCCATACTATCAACAAAAACAGTGGTGGGAGGGGGGGGCCCGGATTTTGTCCCAGTTTGAGAAAGCGACCGTCAGGAAGCCATCTGGTTTGCTTTAACTGCGACAATTATCTGCCCCAGGTTGCGTAGAGACTTGCTGCTTGTCTCTCTACTACAATAAAGCTAAAGACGAGCAATGAATGACGTTATCTGGTTCCAAACACTTGAGACCGCTCGCTCCCATTGCCGCAAAGACTTTGCCCAAATGCGTAAGCTGTCATGTGATAATAGACACTTAACGCCCTCCAGTGCTTCCTCAGGAACTGCTAGTGCTGCTAATGACTTGCAGAACATGGCAGAGGATCTGGACCAGCAGTAATGGAAGCAATTTCGCCCCAGAGCTCAAATCTGGCCGACGGGCCCCTCAACGTTGGCTCCATGTGAGTCCAGGGTAACAACTACGGAGGGACAACAGGTTACGCCCTGAAAATAGGGTGTCACCAACAACGAAGCGAAGCTGAAAAGCTTATTCATCATCTCTTGCTGATGTTTTCCTCCCTCTTTTCATTATGACAACAAACCAGAACCCGTCTCTTTCATTCCCATTCTCTAAGCTAGCATTTGGACCTGCCTCGTTTCTCTTTTCATTTGCCCTTTTATTCGCTAGATGTTCTTTGGCCCGAACTACCCGAGGGGGGGGTTTTGTCGTCGGGTTAATGGTGTTGTGTTTGTCTCGATTTCTCCACCGCTTCCTTTGCCTCTGCCTGCAGCTTTAGGTCCCGAGGTCCTCAGTGTGTCTTCACACTCACAGTAATGAACCTATGCATTCTGGGTCTTTTTCCAACCATTCTACCTTTGACTTCTGGACCTTCCTTCCTTGTCTTTTAGGATTTTGATGATACCTCTATGTCTGCTGAAGACCACGGGTGGCCGCCTGCATAATCCCACAACACCCGCTTGCTGGTTTAGTAATCCCTAAAGGAATGTCACCCTGGCTCCTCTATACATCCCTTTTGTAAGACGTTTTATAAAGGGAAGGCCAGATCATTTCTGAAGGATCATTCACGGATGAGTGCACGACAACTTGTAAGTGATGATGAGACATTATTATGGACGAGATAGGAAACTAATGAACATTTCAGTTTTTTATTTTTCATTCAGCAGAGCATGCTGTGAATGCTGGATAATCTCAAACGGGTATATTTGTTTTTTCTTATTTTGGAATGTTTCCACTATCAATCTATTGATTGAAGAATCAATCTTATTGTTTTATTTTGGATATCACAAATGTTGGAAATGTATTAGAAATACATGAAGGAGAAGGTGATTCTTTTGATATGTGAAATGTTGTCAATGTGTCTCAGGTGCGTTAATATCTATGGTGAAATGTCTCACATTGCAGGACATTCCAACTTGACTTGAAAAAAAGAGGAACAATAGTTTTTTCTTATCAGTATTTTCTGCAGCTATGAGAAGCATCCATTTTGTTAACAAGGGTAAACATTCAATCTAATAAATCATGACGTGCCTTTGCTGGAGTATCTGTCATGTTTCTGTCATGAGGCTTTATACCGTACAGTGGAAGCAAAGTGTAAATCAACCATATGAAGATGTGTTATTATGGTTATGTACACCAACTAGCCTGTATTATTGACAAGTTGTCAGCTTGAATAAAATGTATCCTAATGAGAATGTGATGATTACATTTTAAGAAATGATTGAATCCTCAAGTTTGCCTTTGGATTGATAGAAATGTAAAATGAATAAAATGTGTATTAGCATTTAAAAAAAAATGCAAAAATAGCAGCGGCACGAAGAGGCCCCTTACGAGCATTTGTATAACTTTGTACAACATGCATGGATAATCTTATAATATTCCACATTTTAAATTCCATTTTCTCCACAGAGAGCATTTTTGATTAGAGGTATGAATGAAGGGCATTCTAGACAAAACGGTCCACAAAGCAGTCCACGCAGCCATAGGGAGGCGGTGGCTGTGCCAGGATGAAATTAAACGTTTGGTCACTTGCTTATCATCGTCATTCACTTACTGCGTGCACCTGTAGGATTCCCATCATCATGGGAAATAACCGGCGTCTTCCTGCTTTCCTGCCTTTGAGCTGCAGTGAGACAGAGAGATCTTTGTTTAGATTTGGCTGCTCGGTTTTTCTCAGTGCTCCTCACTGAAATGTCTGATGCAGCTTGGACTTAGACTGTATAGAAGAAGTGGAAGCCTTGAGTCTGGCATTTGGCCTGCAGCCGTCTTTGTTGATGGTGGAACTAAGTATAACCGAGCGCTGGATATTACATTTTAGGCGATCGTAGCGGTTACAATTAACTTTTATGGACTGAAAATACACTTTGAAAAGGTTAAAGTTGTAAGAAGAAATGATGTGACAGAGCGGAAGTACTGTGGAAGCAGCTTTTGAACCACATGGTATCTTAATCTCCATTGTTGTCTATGCTAATCTAAATTAAACCACGATTTTCATTCTGTATTCCGTGCAATCTGACCAGACAAGCTGCCCCCTACTGGCCATTAGAACGAATGCAGGTTTAAGTCACGTTGACTTTACTTTTTGCCGGAGGTGCCGTCACGATGTTTGAAAACTGAAAATGACCATTTTTTTAGAGAACATATACTATACTATTAGCCACTCTTCAAACAAGTTGGACAATCAACCAGATTTTTTAAATTCGGTTAAACCAATGGAAAAATAAACACATTTTTAAAAGCTCCTCCATTGGTTGATTTAGCTTCCCAACTTACTTTTGTGTAAGCTTGTGTCAGACTGAATTACCGGTGACTCATTTCGCTCGCAGTGGGAAGTACCGCGGTGTCTGCTGGGGTGCAGGCACACATATGGAAGCAAAGCAGTGGGCAGACTGTTTAAAATGACCCTGAACATATATCAGGTCAATACGACCCAGCGGTCGTCCTTCCCGCTGGGCTGCTTTGAATAAAACGTGTAAGCTTCTGCTCTGTGCAAACTATACGTGTGAGACCATACGCTAGTCGAGATACATTTGGCTTCCAGTCTGGCCTTTATCTTCTCGGGTAACCATGATAGTCGTGTGCAAAAACCTTCCAGATCCATCGATAATGTGGATTATTTGTGATGTATTTGAAATATCGCTGTTTAAAGTCACATATGTTGGAGCCAAATTTTAGAGGTAGAACTTTTCTCGTTTGCTAAACCACACAGAAATCTCCTCGCTAAACTTAGTGCTTTTCTAGTGGAGATTCTTTTCTGCACTGGTCTTTTTTTGCCAGTGGCAAAGAGTAAGTGGGATAAGTGTGTTGGCTTGTGTCACCTTTCAGTGATTTTGTGTAGTGTTGTTACCGCTAAGCTATTTTAAATGTCTGTGAATACCACTGTTGCATTTTAATGGTGACCAAAACAGATTTTGAAAACATCCCTTAAAATGGTAATTGGAACAAAAAAACAAAATGACTTTCTATAGTCGTCTTGAATTTGTCTCATAAATGGTAGTTATGTTCTAATCCGGACTTCCTCTTGCACAGAGACCAAAGCATCGACAGGCTGTCCACATTCATGCCTTCCCTCACGCTGGTCTAATTGATGCCTGCCTCTCACACACACACTTTTCTGCGTTTGAAGAGCAGAATCCTCAGGAACAACTTTGCCACAGAGACTCTGCGTTGTCATGGATCACACGTGATGAGAAATATGAATTTCGATCATTTCCATTCTGTTCACGTTTAGGATTGTAGCAGAATGAAGGAGGTTTGAGAATGAAATGGTGCACCATGCTACATTATGTGGTCTTTTCAGAAGGGCCGCGGGTTCGAGTGGTGCCCCTTGGTGTGAACGGTTCAGCTTGGACCTGTGCTGAGATTGGACCTGTGCCACTTCAGCTCTCTGACTGACACCTGCCTGTTGATTGACACCTGGTGCACAGGACTCCAGACAGTTGTGCCACTCGTGCAGTGTTTTTTACAACAGAATCGTGCAGGTTTTTCTTTCTTGCCTTTATTTTCCCCCTTTCAATTATTTTGATGTTGTTTGAAAAAAAAACAAGTGAGCCTGTTATTCAGCTGCTGCTGTCTGGGTTTCAAATAAGTTTCTACCAAGCCATACATACAAATATCACAAAATATGTGAGTGATAAGTGGTTTTGGTCTGTCAAGAAGTCACTTGGCCTCCTGCTAAAGCTTAAGGGGTTTGCTTATGTTGTCTGGGCTTCTGCACTTGGCTCCAAAGGCTCAAGGTTCATGTCTGCCCAGAGGCCAATTCATTTTCCCACATCTTCTACTCCACGCAAGGGGCTTCACTCATAAAATACACACACACACACACACTAGCTTGATTCCCTGTACCTTGGGAAATCACAACAAGCTGTTTTTACTGTGCCTCAAAGGTTCCACTCTGACATTGAACATCTTGCGTTTTACTGCTATTTATTAATTAGTGTTTATTTATGCAAGAGCAAACGGAATGTCAAATATATCCGGCGACTTCATATTTCTTCTGTTCCATTTACGCTTGTAGATATTGGATGATTTCCTTTGACCGAAACAAAGAAACACCTTGTGACATGTAATCTATAAACACAATGAAATCAGAGCAGCTTTTGCCTTAAAAATTGTGACTTTCAGTAAGACGCATTCCTTGGGTTCAGAGAAATTTGACAGGCCTTTAATGCTGTCTTAGGTAGCGTGGCGCCGGAGGTAAACCGCCTTTTATAGGTCATGTGATATGTGGGTCATCCTGGGGCCCGCACAGCGGATCCCCAGGATCAAACACTCTTTGATTGGCTGTGTGACTCATTGATTTACGGGTGCTAAAACGCAACAGTGAGAGTTTCACGCTGACACGTACAGTAGCGATGCTTTACGCAGCAGTTAGTTACATTTTGAACTTAACGATTTCTCAGTCAAGAAGCTCAGGTTGTAAAATGATTTAATGATTCCCTAAACTCCAGCTAAGTAGCTCTAAATGATGTTGGTTGTCAGATGGCATATTTCAAATTCATTGTTTGGTTAAAATATGAAAGCGGTGTCCTGGAGCGTTGGCGTCAGAGTGCTCTCCGTCTTTGTCAGTCCGTCATTGATCGCGGTGCGTGAACCTTTGTTCTCCTCTGCATGCTCAGACTTCTAACATGTCTCACATCCAAAATGTTGACAGAGGTATAATTGTCTTATTGTCTCATGGAGACGTATGGCCACAGGAAGAGGCAGGTCGCAGATATCCATCCGTTATCTTCAACGACTTGTCGTGTTCAGGGTTAGCTTGGCGGGGGCTGAGGCCGGACAGGTCGCCACGCTGTCGCAGGGCGAGATAGGAAATTGGACAAATTTGACAATGTGTCAACGTGTTAGGCCTTTCCTTTCTGCCCCACTCCCAGTCCTTCTCTTTCTCAGGATACGGCTGTCAAAACCAGTCCGGCCTTGCAGAGGGAAGATGCACTTTGGTTACTGGTGCAGAGCCCTAAGATGATTACAATGCACGCAGGTTTGGAAAGGCACTTACAACTAACAGGGGCCCTCAGGCTTTAAGGGCAATTTTCTACGTTAGAGGCTTATCTCCTCCGCTCCAGCTACTCAGCTGGTGTGAGCGCCTACAGAAGCAAACAGCATGATTGTAAACAATTAGTCCACCTGACTAGAGTCGGCGACCAGACCTACCAATTAGTTTAATTCACATGCACAACGCTATATGGCTCTCTGGCTTTCACAGTGAAGGCCGTACTATGAGCTTAGTGCCATTGCACTTCAACCATGATGTTATCCTGTTACAATTAAAACAGGCTCCTATATGTCAAGTATGTTGGTGGATGTGGACAAATTGATAATGGTCACCTTGATAAGTTGCAAGTGCCTTTTGCTATCCGGTCTTAATATACAATCATTCAGTATTTTGTAACGTAAAGCAGAATCACAGCAGAAATACATGTCTTTAAGCATGGCTGAGTCAATTTTAAAATTGTTCTCTTTTATGACATGTTAATGACAATGACATTCTAATGACATGTGATTCACATGTTTGAACAATTCTGTTTTTTACCAAAAGTGAATGACTCATTGGAAACGTTCTCTTGGTCACACCGGAGCGCAAACTACATATCAGACATATTTAAAATATTTTGGATTCTGTTTACACAAGCTGGAAGAGACCCATCCGATCTCACACTGCTGGGTGCTGTACTGAGTGCCAGGCAGGAGATTACTACACACACAAACTCAGATCACTTAATTAACCCCTCCTACTCATCTAAGCCAATCATTGTGATTGATAGGCACGAGTTAGAACCGTGGTCCCCCGTGTGGAAAAGCCAAGCGCAAAGGTTAGTTCAGCCCCCATCCGAGTCCATGTTAATCCGAGTTCACCCCTAACATTTCCAGATGATCCAGTTGTGTAAATTAACTCTATTTTTATTTCCATGTAGGCTACAAACCCTGTAATGTAAGCACACAACCACATTGCAATTAACATGATTGTCTAAACAACCTATTCTTAATGCGAGCTCCATTGACTGGAATTGGAGGAAACCCGCGACTCCAAAAGCGGTCTGAAGTGGCTACGGGTCGGATGGGAGGTTCTCCCTCATGCTATTGACAGAAATGTGTTCGTTGGAACAAACAGTGACTCAGTTCAACTAGAGACATGAGCGCACCACCCGGTTTCCATTGCGCACCCGATGACCGGCGCGTTGCACAGAGCGCATCAATTCGAGACTTAATCACCAACGCTTGAGAAAAAATAAAGCAATAAAAATGTTTACACGACCACGATAAAGTTTTGTGATTTGGCGTAAGTCATTTCTCGCGTGATTGCTTAATAATGCTATTGAAATAAATCGTATTTGGAACTTGCGTGAAAGTGAAGATGAACTCAGTCTAAACAGATGGATGTGACACCAGCGCGCACGATAGGAAGGGTCTCAAAACAGTCCGATTGGAGGAGACCCCCCTCCCCTGCCCCCCACTCGCCCCTCCCTTCCCCCCATCCCAAGGTGTCTCATTCACTTTTTTTTGGGGCACTCAGTCCCTCCTCCCGAGCACAGACGAAATAACAGTGTGCGTTAGGCAAAATTGAGCTTATTGCTTTCCAGCACTGCACGTTTTCCGTCGCTTTCTTCAGAACCAGCAGCATCTCGGAGTGGAACCCCGACACTTCAAGGAGAAGAAGAAGGCGCACCGGGAGGGGGGGGAGGACACGTTTTTGCACCGAGTTGGAAAGGAGCTCTTCGGGCACTTTTTACGCACCCATGTTACGCACTGGGACTAACTGAATTTAGCGACGCGTATCAATATTTTATGGAATAAAACATCATTAAATGTAAGTATTATTTTTTTGTTTCGGTTTGACATGAGCTATAAATTAAAACTGTTGCGCTCAAACAGAGAACTGGTGGAATATGATGCCATTGTGTTTGAAATGATGAAACATATACTGTTTAACTCCAGAGTGTAAATGATGTGACTCGAGCGGCCTGCGATGCCGCGTTGTCCTTAGATAACCCACCATATGTCCCGCCAGTGCGTGAGGCAAGTGGATTTCAAACTGGTTGCAGGTCACTCCATGAATTAAAATGAGAATAATTAATTGACTGATCAGGTTGTTCATCCTTCCAACAAGAACCAGGAGTTTCTATGAAGAAAAAAAAGACATTTAAAGCGAGTTGTTAACATGTTTTCTTTCATCAGTGAGCTTCACGCAATGCTCCAAAAAAGTGGCTACAATTTACATTGTGACGCTGAAGTGATCTTACCCTTTCTTCTGATTTTATACAACCTTTCTTCAAGGTTTATGCACGTCGTTCTACAAGCAGATGCAACCTTTCTGTCTCCTTATATCTACCCCAAATATTTTTATATGTTATGTACAAAAAATAAATGTATATATTTTCCATTATGTGTGTCCGTTGGTTTGGGATGGACTAAGTCACAAAGTTGTCACAAAGTGAATTGCCCCCGTCATCTTATAGTCAGGGTTTAGTTTGTTTTTATTACAGTCTGCAGCTCCACCACTTGTGTTTATACAGTGGGTGGACATGAGGACATGAGGACGGGGGGCTGACCGCTCCTGTCGTCTTGCCTCCAAGAAACGACCGCACAAGAAGCTTCAATTATTTCTAATAGGAACTAATGTAAAGATTCGGCTAGTTAATGTGATACGCGATAGAAAAATAATGCCCGTGGTTTCCAATTTGGTTTTCAGAATGTACACTTGTTTTTTCAGAGGGATATCAATATCTAGAACAATACAATTTTAAGTAAATTTTTTTCTGTTTAAAATTTAAATCATGTTAATCCAAGCTGAGTATTCAGTTGTTAAAAAGGGCAGCAGAGTTTGTTTTAATTTTTTTTAGATAAGGAAAAAGTTATTTTCCCATTGATTTTTCTCAAGCCCATCACCAATAGTAAATATTGACCCACAATTGAATGTCTAAACCACAATTATTACCGCCACCCTTTAGCCCGCCTTAAAACAGCTTCTGCTCAAACCGGCCCATTTGGTCTTGATGCTTAATGAGCCCCCCCCCCCCTCCCCCCCGCCCTCCCCCCGCACCCTCCTCTGCGGTTTGAGCATGGCCCTGCCACTGTGTCATCATGAAATGTAAAACACCAATGATTAAAAATAGTCCATTAGTCCATCAATCTGTGATAGAAATGTAATAATTATATGAGTCCAATCATTTTGCAGTCAATATTGCTGAATTTGTATTTTCCTGTGCAGCTAAGAGGGAAAGACACGAAGGGAATAAAACGTCCCCTCACATATAACATATCGCTTTGAGCCATGTTTGAGAATGTGGGGTTCAACAGGGTGTTTCTGAATGATGTCCCCAAACCCTTCAGCCTTTTCCCAATTGTATCTGGGCCATGGTCTTCATATGTTAAATCAATCCAGTGTTTCCGCTACCATTGTATGGGGGGGGTCACCGGTAATCCATTTTGTTCTTGTGCGTTCTAAGCCTGCAACGCAATGTAGAGAATTGTGCTGAACTGTGTTGGGGTGAGCGGGGGGATGTGGCGGGGGGAGGGCCAGGGCGATGTAAGGGAGACTTTACTTTGGTCTGATGACGTCGGCAAAGCCCGTAACTTTACAAGACGTACAATAAATGTCCTAATACACATTATTTTTTTCTCTCCACCAGATGATTCCATACATAAAATATGTGCTGTGGTTGTATTGTCTCTGTGAATCTGCCACTGCAACAGGTACGTTTCGAATGAGCAAATGTTTCTTTACCTCTGCTTTCTCCCTCCCTCTTGCTCCCCCAATCTCCTCCTTTCTTTTCTTTCTTTCACTCACTATTCATTTTTACACCTCTGTGAGTTTCCGCTTACTTTAAGTTGTTTGGCATGGTCACATTGATCCGCCGTCTGACTCCACATCTTATCAGATGTGTCACTGTTGCCTGGCAGCACTTTTAAGTTTTACCGTGTTCTTAAAGTAGCAGTCTTTGAAAAACCTCTTCAGGGATTCGTCCTGTGAATCCGAGACTTTACCCGACCCTGGCGGGGGGCAGTGTTGACTCCCGGAGGTTCGCCTCTCAGGCCCCCCTGGGTCCCCCTGGCCCCTGGCCCCCAGTCACCTTTCAATTAGGCTCCCCGTCTGGAAATAACAGCTGGTCCCCCCCCCCCCCCCCCCCGCTCTGTTAAAACACACACACAGTCATGCCTCTGGGGCTGTCCCACCACTCTTTCCAGAGAATTTGTTACATTGTTCCTGGCGCCCCCCCCCACCCCCCCTCCCAAAAAAAGGTGAATCTTCTTCCTCTCCACCGGGCAAAACATGATTCAGCATGTTGCCCTTTGTTTGTGTCTGGTGTCCTGTATGTTATCCCCTTTGCTTTGCTTCATCACATATCAATTGAGTGAGACTCAGATAAACTTAGCAGCTTTAACTTGGGGGGGTCCAGCAACCAGTAACATGTTTTGCATTGTCAGTCTTAGCATCTTTCCTGTTTGCTGTCAAAATGTGTAACATCCGCCGGTGGATTTTTAATTAAGAAAAGAGTAGGAGGTGACAAGAAGGAAGATACATGATATTGTCCAGTGTGTTGCGGTGACATTATTTTTTTGTGGGTCTACCTGTCATTCTCATGAGGAGGGATTTACGAAGGACGTCATGTGACTCAGCAGTGGCCTAAGATGAAGTGATGCAAACATGGCTCTGACGCTCCCCATGTTTAACCAATTATCTGTAACTTCATACGAACCTGCTGTACATACACTGCAGTCAGTGTTGAATGTGTTCCCACACCCAGCATTTTCAGGATGAGGTTGGACTTTCCAAGAGTCATTTTCAGTCCGTGATGCATGTTCTTTTTTAATGAGGCTGGGTGTAGTTGTCCCAGCCCTCAACACAAATGAACCGGCAAGTTAATGTTGTACTTTCAACGGCTAAAATGAGAGTCAATAGAAGAAATATTATTTGTAAGGAAGAAAAAAAACAAGGGTATTAAAAGTAAAAATAAATGACCATAGTAAACACATTTATATGTATATCGAACCGTTTTGCTTTTGTTTTTTTCAGGCTCCAGCGTCTTATCAATAATGAGACCAGTCACCGGGTCCCTCTCGGGGAAGGTAAATCTTCCCTGCTTCTTCTCCATCATCCCAACATCGGCACCATCGGTCGTTTCCAATGCAACGGCCCTTTACAACAGAGATTACTTACGCATCAAATGGACCAAAATAGATGGAGACGTGGAATCCACGGTGCTGGTGGCGCAGAATGGCGTGATCAAAATAGGCTCGAGCTACAGGAACCGCGTCTCCGTGCCCAGTCACCCTGAGGATGTAGGCGACTCTTCGTTGACGATGGTCAAGTTGCGTGCCAGTGATGCGGGCACATACCGCTGTGAGGTCATTTACGGCATTGAGGACACCCAGGATACAGTGAACCTTGATGTCAACGGTGAGAGAGTCACCGCCCCCTCCCACGTCATGATGGAGTCAGACTGGAGGCTTTTGCATTTCTTTCCCAGAGATACTCTCTGAACGCAGAGGAAGGGTGGCCGCAAGGGTTTAATAATAGTGAAATGCAATACAAGTGGCGATAGAAGCAGCAGCTACCCGGTAGTTACACAGAGGAGCAGTCGTCACTTCTTCTTTTAGAGGCGATGCCTTCTTAAAAAACGAGACTGAGAGTGAGACTGGATCCCTGTGCAAACCAAGTAGAGCCACGGTTAATTCCCAGAGATCAGCAATCTCACCCAGCAACCCCAGCAAGCCGTTGTAGCCCAAATATGGTGTTACACACGTTTACTTTATAACCTGATCCATCTTGGGTGTTACATTATCAGTGGAGATTTGTCTTTTAGTGGGGCGCTCAGTGGGTGTTCTAAGCCTTTTTAACTTGTACTGAGCAGTAAAATGATGCAACATCAGTCCAGTACTCTCTTTTAGGGGGGGGGGGGGTTACCAGTCCATTCCTAGTGTCATTATGGTCACGAATGGACCCTGGGATAGTTTTCTCTAGTTATCAATCATGTCGTCTGTTTATTGTCCAAAAATATAATTTGGAGTTATCTCTTTCATTAGTGGTGAAGTGTAGAGTATTTAGTTTTTTATATTCTTCTTGGTCCATTACCATGTTCCCCATTGTCACAGAAGCTGAGGGACTCAATTTTTTTACGCATGCTGTCTGCTTTGTCAGACATGTTACATTATTTACAGCACTGAAACTAAGCTGATTGATTCCACGTCACTATGTCCGTGTTTCTATACAAAACTAAGATTTTTGTTGGTCATCTGTTCCTCAATTTGTTAACAGGCGTTGTGTTTCACTACCGGACGAGCACCAACAGATACACTTTGGATTACCCGAGCGCGGTCCAAGCTTGCCAAAATGTTGGAGCAACCATCGCTACATATGACCAACTGAAAGCAGCTTATGAGGATGGCTTTGATCAATGTGACGCCGGCTGGATTGCTGACCAGACAGTGAGGTTAGCTCCGTTTTAATTGTCTACACAACAATGCAAATCAATGATTAATATTTGACTGCTTTTGCATTCGACCACGTGTAGCAATTCTCTCATTTGTCTTTCTATCTGCACAGGTACCCAATTACAAGGCCAAGGAAGGGCTGCTACGGCAACCTGCTGACGAAACCTGGAGTCAGGTCATATGGGAACCGGAAAGAGACGAAGACCTATGATGTATACTGTTACGTAGACAAACTTGATGGTGAGTCTTAAACAAAGATTTTCCACCCATGAGTTGTCCTTTAGAACAGCAGCTCATGCATATTTTAAATGTTCATGCAATGTCACTAAATTACTATGAATGTAGATTTATTCTTCACCATATGGGGCTTTGACAAAGTTGGCAACCACATTGTGGTAATTGGAGTTCTAAATGTCTGTGACACGGGAAATCCTAATCTCCCGGCGATCAATCTTTGCCTTTCTTTTCAGATTTCGTGCCTAGTTCATGGATAATTTGTTGCCTGTGAGATGTTACTGTATCTCAACTCTTCATTACACTTTGCCATCTTTATTTCAGGTGAAGTGTACTACGCTCCCGTGACCCGCAAGATGACCTTCGAAGAGGCGAGTGCAGAATGTAAGGCGAGGAATGCTGTCCTCGCATCCCCCGGCCAGCTCCACGCGGCCTGGCGTCATGGTCTGGACAGATGTGACTACGGCTGGCTCTCCGACGGCAGTGTACGACATCCTGTCGCAGTAGCCAGAGTGAAGTGTGGGGGAGGCCTGCTTGGCGTCAGGACCATGTACCGTTACAGAAACCAGACCGGCTTCCCTGAACCGACTATGAAACTTGGAGCCTACTGTTTCAAAGGTAAACTCCCTCACATGGTCGTGTTGTTAGTCTTGGGTATATTTTGCAAAAAGTAATAAAGTGTTAACCTTCATGAGCAGGATTGTGTATGTCATACATATTTTAGTTCAGACAGTGAAAGAGACCGATTGACGTCACAGACCGTTCACTGTCAAAACCAAGCCTGGACTTGCAGGAACAATGATGTCATCCACTATTTGCTTCTGCCCCACCCTCTGAGTTATCCCTATTCGCCCCTCATTTTTACATCTGAACTAGACAAGCATTTTAACAACCTGTCTCCATTTATTGTGGAGGAATTATTTTTCCTCAAGCCTTGCATGACAATCTAGTCTTGCAGATCTCAGTGTACATTTGAACTCCCACATCTTTGTATCCCGCCCAAATTTGCCAAGAGGAAAGTAAAACCATTGTGGAAAAACTCAGTTAACTTCAAATGGGCAACACATGGAGGGGCTATGATCAATAGTTTATTTGAGAGTTTATGAACAGTATCTGCACTTTAAAAATATCTTCGCTCACCAAGGCTCCTGAAGGTTTATCCCTATTCAACCTCACTATCCATGTGAAACATGCATACATACATAACAGAGTGCTTACACTGTTCATGTTATTCATGAATTCTTGAAAACCGCCTCCGGACCTACTTGTAGGTCACATTTAGGAATACATGGAAACGACTTGTAGAAAACTACGGCGATTACTGACCGCGGGAAGCCAGAGGAATATTGCTATGGATCGTTATAAATAGCGACACTTCATGGTTCACCGGATGTTAGCAGAATTATTCTAATCCCTCCTCAAAGAGAGGTCTTAACTAATCAGTAACCCAAGGGAAAAACCAAATGACAGCTGAGAGCCACCATCTAGAGAAGCGCCAAAGTAACTAATACCTCACCTGTCAGCTCTTTTAGTCCGACCATCTAACTCTCTTTTCTCCTTTTTCATCTCGTTTCCGCTGAGTTTGCCCTCCGTCATTCTCACTTGTACTTACTTATCAGAGCAGACGTTTGAATACTCGGACAAAGCTACTGCAGGACTTCTAAATCCAGCTACCCTCGGTGACCCCTGAACCGGCCTTTCCATCTTTACAAATGAGAGGTTGGACAGATAAGCCGTCCCCTGCCTGGCCAATTTACTGCCCCTGAGCTATACTCGCTCTCCTAGTGATAAGTCCCTCTGGAGTTCAGAGGCCACACAAACAGGCCACCCTCCCCTCCTGCTCTGTGTATTGCATGTCAGCTCTCTCAGGCCTGTTGTATTTATGCCCCCGTCTAAGTGCTTTTCAAGTACCTCCGTTTGGTTGAACTCACTCCATCACTTCCTGCTCACAATAATATCTCCCCCCCCCAAAAAAATATAAACCCACATCTGTTAAACAACACAGAAAGACAGGTAGGCAGGAAGTTTATGCAGAGGGAAAAGGTGGATAATTGCCCTCCGATTGGGCTCCGAAAGGGCCCGAAGGAAACAAAGGCCTCAGTGACGGCGTCGGTGAGATAATGCAGTCTGTGAGGGCAGGCCCCGTTTATTTCCTGTTAAGGAAAAACGTGGCTCACACCTTACATCAGAGATAGATTCATGAAGAAAGAGGGCTGGTACGTAATGGTCAGCAGCTGGCTTCACACAGTCTGTGTGCGCCAGCGAGGAAAGCTCTAGTTCTGTTTATGGCTTTGTCTAAATGAGGGAGAACAGGTGGAAGGAGGGGCGGGGGCGAGCATAAGGCAGTTAAAAGGAATTCATTCACTCATAAAACGGAAAAGAAAGTAGAAAATTAATCGGTAAGATTTTATTAACCATCACTGACACGTGAAAACCAGCAACGGCTTCTTAATCACAGTACAACATGAATACAAACGCTTCACCAATGACCAAATGTCAGGGCCCAGGGTAAGAGAAAAGGGCAAACGCAGGGCAACTCTAATGAAACCACATCTCTAGATTCACTTCTGCTTTATGCCCTGGCTAATTCCTTTATAATATTCATGTGGATCCTTTCAGGCAGAGATGGAAATGTTTAGAGAAACATTCACTTAACTGCACTTAGTTTTTAACAGAAACCAGAGCACTTTGAAATGACCTCATCTACTTTGGGATGATGTTAAACCTTTAAATCTTATTTCATTAGGAAACAAGAGGTAAACTATTAAAAGTAAAATCATAAGATAATCAGCAAGATGAAGTTGATTATTTACTGTGATTTTGTGTTATTTTTTCAAAGGTAAAGTCATACATGCTACACAAAGTAGTGTCACACTGTTTTTGTAGTACTGCCATTTGATTCATAAGGCTTAACAAACTTATAAGTAATTGTATCTGTTTTGCTCCTCAGTTAAGTGTTACATTTAATCAGAGTTGTCTGTATTCTGCTTTACATTTGAAGGCGTAGCACTTTATTATGATTTTAATGATTTTTCTTTTTTCTTTTGATGTGTCTCTCAGGAAGGACTAATGTGATTAACCAGACGTCCTTCGTGGACGTATCTGTGGTTGAAACCCTCACCACCGACATCAGCTCCACCACCTCCACCCCTTTACTTGAGAGCAGCGCCGCTCTGCTTACCCCAACATCTCAAAGTGTGTCTCCAGACTCTGCTGCTCCGAAAAATCCTCCATCAATGTTCTCTACCAGCATGACTCCAACTCGCCTCAGTCCGACAGGCCAAGAAGAGGAGTTATTCACCACGGTTTCACCCACCATCAAAGAGGTGGAAGACACTGATGTCGTAACACGGGACGTCGAAGACTTGAAACGTGAAAATGTGACCCACGTGGACTCTGCTCCTCACGCTGGTGACACATTCTCAAGGCCCCAACACACAACTCAAAGCACACCCACCACCGATTCACCTGCTAAACCCTTTGAGGGGCCTCACGATCAGTCAATAACTGAGATCGGCACAACAACGCCATTCCCAGAGCATGAGGAGGTTGAGTTTGTGGTACAAGGACGGCCGCCTACTGTGCCACCCCAACGAGACCTCTCATCCAGCCCATTGGACAGCTCTAGTAATACTGAGGAAACGACATCCGCCTCAGCTACTACCAGTTCTACTACCTTCATGTGTAACACCAAACCCGGCACTGAGGCGGAGATCACCGCCACAGAATCGCCAGAGACGACCCGCGCTTCCACACAAGTCACACCTCGAGCGCAGGACGTAGAGACCCGTGCCGTCGACTACGAGGAAGAGACCACGCCGGGAGCTGCGACAGCCGGCACAGCTGAGGATATGACATCGGCCACCAGTCTGCCGCAGCACAGCGGGGGCTTCTCGGCAGAGGACGACAAAGTAACAAAGGCGGGCACAGATTTCAAGAGCACCACACTGGGTGCAGTGGTTGCTGAAGAACGATCAAATGAAGTGACGGCCATCATTCAAGATGTATCAGGTGAGAAATACCAACAATTTTATTTGGCAACTTTTCTGTTCAATGCAATGGGTTCTGTGTAATTTATGTGTAGTTCAGATTTGGCTGAGATAATAGGACATTGTGTCATTTGATCTTACATTTGATATAACACAATAATGAAATGGTAAAACTTGTAAGGAGGGCCTTGCAAAAAGCAATTTGTTTTAACCCCAATATTGTCTGTCTATTTGAAGAATATGATTGTTGCCTTACTTTCTTTTACTATTTGCTACAAGTTGTTGCCTGCCCTTTGTTGAGTCTGATGTCTCTCATGGAGTCACTTATCATGAAGCTTGATTGCACAGTAGCTGGGAGTTAGGGGAGGCCGTGCTGTCCAGGGTCCTGAAGTAGGGAGAAAGTTGAATTTAGACTGCAAGTGAAAGGAGTCAAGCTCAAATCAAGGCTCAAACATTTACTGCTATTATGCATTTTTATTGTATGACTCCCATTTTTTATTCCGTTTTTTAAGAAAAATAAAAAACTTTTCAACTGTTAAGTACATTTCTAGTAATTTGCTCTCCAAATTAATATACAACTCAGGGGTACTTGTAATCTAGACAGATAGTTTACAGACAAAGTGAGTCTTTATAAACAATTTATACATTCAGGGTCACACAAACAACATAGTTATTCATATTATTTTGCTGCCAATAGAACACTACATTTCCATATTTCAGCTATTATAAGGATATTTTTTACTATATGGTGCTGGAGAGTTGAGAATTTTGAAATACATACTTTGGCTGTTGAGGTCAATAGTGCATGATCTCGTATGTAAACAGCAGCTGCATCATTTTGTACTCCTAAATAAATTTGCCTTCAAATAATAGTTTCTGAGCTGCAAACATCGCTACGGTGACTCACTCCTCGTGAAAAACGCTCTTGTTGGAGGAGAGATATTTGGTAAATAGAAAAGGAAACAAGTGGAAGCATAAGTTGTTTGGCACTTTTCGGAAGTTGGTGTGGCTTTTTGAAAGTAGGCCTCAGAGAGCTATGATCTGGAATCTCCTCGAGGTTATACACACTGAGTGTTCATCAACACTGTGTATATGTAGTATGGTCGGTTTATTATGGTCAGACATACAAACTCTTCCTCTGTGTCCGCATGCCTGGTGTGTATTTGTACTGCAAATCCCTATGCGTTTGCAGTATTTCTCTCCTTCTGTGCGCATGCACCATCTAACTGGCAGTAACTGAGACGTGTTGGCAGTGTACCTGAGTAAGCACTGAGTCCTCCCACAGACTGTACGCCACCTCAAGAGGTGATGTCATCGCTAACGCAAAGCCTCCCTCTCTGTGCGGACAGCTGAAGGCTGCACTCGAGGATTCTTTCTGGCCTCTCAGTCTGGTCTTGTGGAAAGTATTATGGCATTGTGAGAAGTGTGTTGTCTGGCTGCATAGCAACAAAGTGCACAATAATATCAATGAATGAAAATTTAGTGTTGCCCAAATCTGTCAGTGTTGTTCTCATTCAATGTGTTTTTGAGTAATTCCAGACAATTACATTGTTGTGTTTATGTATTGATTTTTGTTCCAACCACAAATGTCACTGAATAATGCACAGAACCAAAAAAAGTAACGTTTTATTGGGCTGTGGTTCGCCGGCTGCCTTGTGCATATTATCAGATATGTCCAAAACCTCATGCTGTGGCTTTTTCTCAAAGCATTGATTTATTAAGGGAATTGGCAAACAAAACTGGAAGTGCTTAATGGGCTTATATCTTCTTGTGCTTGTGTTTGCATATGGAGTATGCGGATATACTAACAGAGTGTCGTAAGGTGGGTGTGTGGTCACTGTGTGGTCCAGCTAGACGTTGAGCAACGTGTATGCGCTCAGAGCCGACAGGTGTTGGCAATCGTAGCAGAGAAAAAGCAACAGTGAAGTTGTCAAGCGAAAGGAAATGGATTTTGTTCGAAACTGCGTTGACTGTTGAAGGACTTGACAATGTGTATGCTTTACTGGCTTCTTGATAATATTTTATATTAATTTTAACAACAACCCCTGTGTATTGAATAGTGGGGATCTTTATAGTGTAATATCGTACTTACAACTCCCGGGATTTAAGAAATAAAATGTGGTTTGTTGTTTTTCTGTTCTTTTTTTAATCATTCATTTCAGTTCTCAGCAATCACATTGTAACTTTTTTTAAATTTTTTTCCAGTTGACCAGGCTTTACAGCAACAAGATCCCCAGTCTTCCACTATACCAGTTGTGCCCGACCATCCCACCCCCTCCATTGCCGATGGAGAACCCATCCAGCAGAGTGGCGAACCAGACCTCTCCTACCAAGCATCTGTAACTATTACTCCAACTGTAAGCTTCATAAATGCCAAAGATGAGCTCACACTAGAGCCAATGAGTGCAGAAGAAAAAGAGGTCAAAGGTACCCAGATTTTGACAAATGTGTCAAGTTTGGGAGTGAGCGAGGAAATAACCACAGGGTTTGATTTTAGTTGGACCGATCTCCCTGATAGCTCAGCGGAATACACAGAAGAACCGACCAAAACACTTATTTCTACAGAGATCCCAGATATTGATCAGTATGACTCTGAAATATTAGTTGAATCTACACCTCCTGATATATTACTTGGAGAAGATGACCTGATCATAAAGGACACTACAGACACAACCTTTGCTCCAACACTGGAGGACACAGTATCAAAAAGTACACAAAAAACAGTACCGGGCCCAGCTGCCACACACTCCACAGAGGGGATGACTCATGTCACATCTACCGCTGCCGACTTTGTTCCTACGATAACACCAGCTGAGCCACAGATCACCAAAGCAACTGCACAAACACAAACCCAGAAGGCTAAAAAGGAATCCACCTCTGTCATTCCCACATCTGTACTAGAAGAGGCAAGTGTGTCAGGGCGGACTCTCACCTATGTAAAAAATGACTCAGAAATGACTGAGACAGAGAAGTCGAAGGAACAATCCTATGTTACTTCTTCAACCAGACTTTACACAGCCAGAGATAAAGCAGAGACCACAGAAGACATAAAGAGCACATCTGCCACTCCAGCTGCTGAACACAGCACTCAGTCTACGTTACAGGCTGTGTACACTCCCTCCTCGGGCGACCCTGAATGGAAAACACCAACATTGACAACTCGTGACTCACAGAGCTCCGATCAAGATGTGGGGGGAGGAGGAATGCCAGAAGTCCCCCCAAAATTAGCCCTCAGCACAACAGATCCAACAGTATCTAGTGGTTCATCCTCTCTTGAACAGACAGCAAAGACTGAGGTGACGCCGGTTGTATATTTAGGCAAAACCGAATCATCGGCATCTGTATCACCTATTATTGCTGACACTTCACCAGGTACGGCCTCAAGTCAGGGAGGTAGTTCAATCAGCAAAAGCCCTTCCTCAACTACTGAGAAAGCTGTAAGTGATGCAATGTCTACACCAGAGGAGGATGATTCAAGTGTGCAAGCAGTAAACATGTTTACAACCGGCCCGACTTCACATACTTCGGCTGAGACAATAATGTCATCTTCAAGTCCAAGTTCCACAAATACAACAGATGAACCTCTGTGGGAGAGTGAAGTAACATCAGAAGCCGCAGGCAAAGATAACGCATTCATTCATGCAAATGATAGATCTCCCACCACCATGCATGAGCTGAGGGATCCTTCGCCCTTATACAGTGCTATTGAAATTGTCAAGACAACCTCATTCCACAAATACTTCAGTCCGTACTCTACACAAAGCACATTATTAACGACTGAATTTCCTAAGGAAACCACTGATGCAACAGATGAGCAGACTTCAGTACACCAAACCTTCTCACCTGTGGCCACCTATACTCCTTCAGTCACAAGCAAAGTAAAACCCTATGAGTCTATTTCAAGTGCAGCCTCAACAGTGGAAATCTCTGGTGTAAATGGAGTTACAAAGACAGGATCATCAAGTCCCAGCACTGCTGTACAAATTACAGATGATCAAACTTCTGGGACGACATCAACACGACCTAAGCACAGCACAACTACTCATACTGGTGCAAAAGGGACTTTCTCCACTTCTTCACTTGAAGAAACTTCTGGCAAACAGACAACTGAAAAATCAAGTAAAGAGTCTCTAACATCTACAACCTTGCCATTGTTTAGCACTGACAGACCAGCTGCACAAGTAACGAGTCAGTCAGAAAGCAGACAAGCCAGTAAAATTACCGGTAAAACAGAATACAGTTCTGTTTTCTCTACAACAGGTGATGATAGGTTGGGGGAGAAGAAGCCTGGAATGGCTGCTCAGACATCTGTTGTTTCAGTAACATCTTCTGTGGACAGCACTGGAACACCCAAAACAGAAATGTCACCTAAAGCAGAAGAGACTGAAGCCACAAGGGGTGCTAAAAAAGCATCAATGACAACAGAATCAAATGTTTCCCTCCCTAAAACCGAGAACAACCAAGAAATGACTTTCAACAAAACTCCGTCACTTAACACGCCTAAGACACCAACATCAGAGTCACATCAAATCCTTTTAACTTGGACCTCATCTGTCACAGCTATATTGCCTCTCAAAAGCACTTGGGAACCATCAAGTACTTCTGCTGTTCCAAAAACTACTGTTTCAGACATTGAAAATGAAGAAGAAAGTAGTCAAACTACACTGTTGGAGTCCATACCTTCCATCAGTCAAATAGCTAAGGAACCTAAGACTGCATCATCCCTCATTACCCTGGTCTCAGAAGGTTTTGGAGACAGTACAGAGTCACCATCAGTGACAGCTTCCAGTCAAACTCAAACAAGTAATACTTCAACATCAACTGTAACCATAGCGTCATCACTCTACAGTACTGAGAAACCAACATCAGAATCACCTGAAACAAAAGAGAGTGTATCAACAAGTCAAACTGAGAAACTATCAGCTTCAGCAAAGACCACTTCTACCTTGTCAACGACAGATGAAGATGGATCCGGTGACCAAACAGAAAACATGTTCACTCAGACCTCATCTGTAATAGCAAAATCGTCTCCCTACACCACTGTAGTACCATCAACATCTCGTGTTACATCGTCTGTTACTTCTGAAATTAAGGTGGAGGACATTGGCAGTGAATCTACAATGGTGGAGTCCATTTCTCTCATCAGTGAATCAACCATGACGCTTGAAACATCATCATTCCCCATAACCATAGATTCAGATAGTTCTGGGGACAGCACTGATAATTTCACTGAAGAGTCTCATAGTAAAACAACTACAGTGTCTTCATCTTGGACTACAGAGTCACCATCAGTGACAGCTTCCAGTCAAACTCAAACAAGTAATACTTCAACATCAACTGTAACCATAGCGTCATCACTCTACAGTACTGAGAAACCAACATCAGAATCACCTGAAACAAAAGAGAGTGTATCAACAAGTCAAACTGAGAAACTATCAGCTTCAGCAAAGACAACTTCTACCTTGTCAACGACAGATGAAGATGGATCCGGTGACCAAACAGAAAACATGTTCACTCAGACCTCATCTGTAATAGCAAAATCGTCTCCCTACACCACTGAAGTACTATCAATATCTCCTGTTACATCGTCTGTTACTTCTGAAATTGAGGTAGAGGACATTGGCAGTGAATCTACAATGGTGGAGTCCATTTCTCTCATCAGTGAATCAACCATGACGCTTGAAACATCATCATTCCCCATAACCATAGATTCAGATAGTTCTGGGGACAGCACTGATAATTTCACTGAAGAGTCTCATAGTAAAACAACTACAGTGTCTTCATCTTGGACTACAGAGTCACCATCAGTGTCAGCTTCCAGTCAAACTCAAACAAGTAATACTTCAACATCAACTGTAACCATAGCGTCATCACTCTACAGTACTGAGAAACCAACATCAGAATCACCTGATACAAAAGAGAGTGTATCAACAAGTCAAACTGAGAAACTATCAGCTTCAGCAAAGACCACTTCTACCTTGTCAACGACAGATGAAGATGGATCCGGTGACCAAACAGAAAACATGTTCACTCAGACCTCATCTGTAATAGCAAAATCGTCTCCCTACACCACTGAAGTACTATCAACATCTCGTGTTACATCGTCTGTTACTTCTGAAATTGAGGTAGAGGACATTGGCAGTGAATCTACAATGGTGGAGTCCATTTCTCTCATCAGTGAATCAACCATGACGCTTGAAACATCATCATTCCCCATAACCATAGATTCAGATAGTTCTAGGGACAGCACTGATAATTTCACTGACGAGTCTCATAGTAAAACAACTACAGTGTCTTCATCTTGGACTACAGAGTCACCATCAGTGACAGCTTCCAGTCAAACTCAAACAAGTAATACTTCAACATCAACTGTAACCATAGCATCATTACTCTACAGTACTGAGAAACCAACATCAGAATCACCTGAAACAAAAGAGAGTGTATCAACAAGTCAAACTGAGAAACTATCAGCTTCAGCAAAGACAACTTCTACCTTGTCAACGACAGATGAAGATGGATCCGGTGACCAAACAGGAAAACATGTTCACTCAGACCTCATCTGTAATAGCAAAATCGTCTCCCTACACCACTGAAGTACCATCAACATCTCCGGTTACATCGTCTGTTACTTCTGAAATTGAGGTGGAGGACATTGGCAGTGAATCTACAATGGTGGAGTCCATTTCTCTCATCAGTGAATCAACCATGACGCTTGAAACATCATCATTCCCCATAACCATAGATTCAGATAGTTCTGGGGACAGCACTGATAATTTCACTGACGAGTCTCATAGTAAAACAACTACAGTGTCTTCATCTTGGACTACAGAGTCACCATCAGTGACAGCTTCCAGTCAAACTCAAACAAGTAATACTTCAACATCAACTGTAACCATAGCATCATTACTCTACAGTACTGAGAAACCAACATCAGAATCACCTGAAACAAAAGAGAGTGTATCAACAAGTCAAACTGAGAAACTATCAGCTTCAGCAAAGACAACTTCTACCTTGTCAACGACAGATGAAGATGGATCCGGTGACCAAACAGAAAACATGTTCACTCAGACCTCATCTGTAATAGCAAAATCGTCTCCCTACACCACTGAAGTACCATCAACATCTCCGGTTACATCGTCTGTTACTTCTGAAATTGAGGTGGAGGACATTGGCAGTGAATCTACAATGGTGGAGTCCATTTCTCTCATCAGTGAATCAACCATGACGCTTGAAACATCATCATTCCCCATAACCATAGATTCAGATAGTTCTGGGGACAGCACTGATAATTTCACTGAAGAGTCTCATAGTAAAACAACTACAGTGTCTTCATCTTGGACTACAGAGTCACCATCAGTGACAGCTTCCAGTCAAACTCAAACAAGTAATACTTCAACATCAACTGTAACCATGGCGTCATCACTCTACAGTACTGAGAAACCAACATCAGAATCACCTGAAACAAAAGAGAGTGTATCAACAAGTCAAACTGAGAAACTATCAGCTTCAGCAAAGACCACTTCTACCTTGTCAACGACAGATGAAGATGGATCCGGTGACCAAACAGAAAACATGTTCACTCAGACCTCATCTGTAATAGCAAAATCGTCTCCCTACACCACTGTAGTACCATCAACATCTCGTGTTACATCGTCTGTTACTTCTGAAATTAAGGTGGAGGACATTGGCAGTGAATCTACAATGGTAGAGTCCATTTCTCTCATCAGTGAATCAACCATGACGCTTGAAACATCATCATTCCCCATAACCATAGATTCAGATAGTTCTGGGGACAGCACTGATAATTTCCACTGAAGAGTCTCCATAGTAAAACAACTACAGAGTCTTCATCCTGGACTACAGAGTCACCATCAGTGACAGCTTCCAGTCAAACTCAAACAAGTAATACTTCAACATCAACTGTAACCATAGCGTCATCACTCTACAGTACTGAGAAACCAACATCAGAATCACCTGAAACAAAAGAGAGTGTATCAACAAGTCAAACTGAGAAACTATCAGCTTCAGCAAAGACAACTTCTACCTTGTCAACGACAGATGAAGATGGATCCGGTGACCAAACAGAAAACATGTTCACTCAGACCTCATCTGTAATAGCAAAATCGTCTCCCTACACCACTGAAGTACCATCAACATCTCCGGTTACATCGTCTGTTACTTCTGAAATTGAGGTGGAGGATATTGGCAGTGAATCTACAATGGTGGAGTCCATTTCTCTCATCAGTGAATCAACCATGACGCTTGAAACATCATCATTCCCCATAACCATAGATTCAGATAGTTCTGGGGACAGCACTGATAATTTCACTGAAGAGTCTCATAGTAAAACAACTACAGTGTCTTCATCTTGGACTACAGAGTCACCATCAGTGACAGCTTCCAGTCAAACTCAAACAAGTAATACTTCAACATCAACTGTAACCATAGCGTCATCACTCTACAGTACTGAGAAATCTACATCAGAATCACCTGAAACAAAAGAGAGTGTATCAACAAGTCAAACTGAGAAACTATCAGCTTCAGCAAAGACCACTTCTACCTTGTCAACAACAGATGAAGATGGATCCGGTGACCAAACAGAAAACATGTTCACTCAGACCTCATCTGTAATAGCAAAATCGTCTCCCTACACCACTGAAGTACCATCAACATCTCCTGTTACATTGTCTGTTACTTCTGAAATTGAGGTGGAGGACATTGGCAGTGAATCTACAATGGTGGAGTCCATTTCTCTCATCAGTGAATCAACCATGACGCTTGAAACATCATCATTCCCCATAACCATAGATTCAGATAGTTCTGGGGACAGCACTGATAATTTCACTGAAGAGTCTCATAGTAAAACAACTACAGTGTCTTCATCTTGGACTACAGAGTCACCATCAGTGACAGCTTCCAGTCAAACTCAAACAAGTAATACTTCAACATCAACTGTAACCATAGCGTCATCACTCTACAGTACTGAGAAACCAACATCAGAATCACCTGAAACAAAAGAGAGTGTATCAACAAGTCAAACTGAGAAACTATCAGCTTCAGCAAAGACAACTTCTACCTTGTCAACGACAGATGAAGATGGATCCGGTGACCAAACAGAAAACATGTTCACTCAGACCTCATCTGTAATAGCAAAATCGTCTCCCTACACCACTGAAGTACCATCAACATCTCCTGTTACATCGTCTGTTACTTCTGAAATTGAGGTGGAGGACATTGGCAGTGAATCTACAATGGTGGAGTCCATTTCTCTCATCAGTGAATCAACCATGACGCTTGAAACATCATCATTCCCCATAACCATAGATTCAGATAGTTCTGGGGACAGCACTGATAATTTCACTGAAGAGTCTCATAGTAAAACAACTACAGTGTCTTCATCTTGGACTACAGAGTCACCATCAGTGACAGCTTCCAGTCAAACTCAAACAAGTAATACTTCAACATCAACTGTAACCATAGCGTCATCACTCTACAGTACTGAGAAACCAACATCAGAATCACCTGAAACAAAAGAGAGTGTATCAACAAGTCAAACTGAGAAACTATCAGCTTCAGCAAAGACAACTTCTACCTTGTCAACGACAGATGAAGATGGATCCGGTGACCAAACAGAAATTATGTTCACTCAGACCTCATCTGTAATAGCAAAATCGTCTCCCTACACCACTGTAGTACCATCAACATCTCGTGTTACATCGTCTGTTACTTCTGAAATTAAGGTGGAGGACATTGGCAGTGAATCTACAATGGTGGAGTCCATTTCTCTCATCAGTGAATCAACCATGACGCTTGAAACATCATCATTCCCCATAACCATAGATTCAGATACATCTGGGGACAGCACTGATAATTTCACTGAAGAGACTCATAGTAAAACAACTACAGTGTCTTCATCTTGGACTACAGAGTCACCATCAGTGACAGCTTCCAGTCAAACTCAAACAAGTAATACTTCAACATCAACTGTAACCATAGCGTCATCACTCTACAGTACTGAGAAACCAACATCAGAATCACCTGAAACAAAAGAGAGTGTATCAACAAGTCAAACTGAGAAACTATCAGCTTCAGCAAAGACAACTTCTACCTTGTCAACGACAGATGAAGATGGATCCGGTGACCAAACAGAAAACATGTTCACTCAGACCTCATCTGTAATAGCAAAATCGTCTCCCTACACCACTGAAGTACCATCAACATCTCCTGTTACATCGTCTGTTACTTCTGAAATTGAGGTGGAGGACATTGGCAGTGAATCTACAATGGTGGAGTCCATTTCTCTCATCAGTGAATCAACCATGACGCTTGAAACATCATCATTCCCCATAACCATAGATTCAGATAGTTCTGGGGACAGCACTGATAATTTCACTGAAGAGTCTCATAGTAAAACAACTACAGTGTCTTCATCTTGGACTACAGAGTCACCATCAGTGACAGCTTCCAGTCAAACTCAAACAAGTAATACTTCAACATCAACTGTAACCATAGCGTCATCACTCTACAGTACTGAGAAACCAACATCAGAATCACCTGAAACAAAAGAGAGTGTATCAACAAGTCAAACTGAGAAACTATCAGCTTCAGCAAAGACCACTTCTACCTTGTCAACGACAGATGAAGATGGATCCGGTGACCAAACAGAAAACATGTTCACTCAGACCTCATCTGTAATAGCAAAATCGTCTCCCTACACCACTGAAGTACCATCAACATCTCCGGTTACATCGTCTGTTACTTCTGAAATTGAGGTGGAGGACATTGGCAGTGAATCTACAATGGTGGAGTCCATTTCTCTCATCAGTGAATCAACCATGACGCTTGAAACATCATCATTCCCCATAACCATAGATTCAGATAGTTCTGGGGACAGCACTGATAATTTCACTGAAGAGTCTCATAGTAAAACAACTACAGTGTCTTCATCTTGGACTACAGAGTCACCATCAGTGACAGCTTCCAGTCAAACTCAAACAAGTAATACTTCAACATCAACTGTAACCATAGCGTCATCACTCTACAGTACTGAGAAACCAACATCAGAATCACCTGAAACAAAAGAGAGTGTATCAACAAGTCAAACTGAGAAACTATCAGCTTCAGCAAAGACCACTTCTACCTTGTCAACGACAGATGAAGATGGATCCGGTGACCAAACAGAAAACATGTTCACTCAGACCTCATCTGTAATAGCAAAATCGTCTCCCTACACCACTGAAGTACTATCAACATCTCCTGTTACATCGTCTGTTACTTCTGAAATTGAGGTAGAGGACATTGGCAGTGAATCTACAATGGTGGAGTCCATTTCTCTCATCAGTGAATCAACCATGACGCTTGAAACATCATCATTCCCCATAACCATAGATTCAGATAGTTCTGGGGACAGCACTGATAATTTCACTGAAGAGTCTCATAGTAAAACAACTACAGTGTCTTCATCTTGGACTACAGAGTCACCATCAGTCACAGCTTCCAGTCAAACTCAAACAAGTAATACTTCAACATCAACTGTAACCATAGCATCATTACTCTACAGTACTGAGAAACCAACATCAGAATCACCTGAAACAAAAGAGAGTGTATCAACAAGTCAAACTGAGAAACTATCAGCTTCAGCAAAGACAACTTCTACCTTGTCAACGACAGATGAAGATGGATCCGGTGACCAAACAGAAAACATGTTCACTCAGACCTCATCTGTAATAGCAAAATCGTCTCCCTACACCACTGAAGTACCATCAACATCTCCGGTAACATCGTCTGTTACTTCTGAAATTGAGGTGGAGGACATTGGCAGTGAATCTACAATGGTGGAGTCCATTTCTCTCATCAGTGAATCAACCATGACGCTTGAAACATCATCATTCCCCATAACCATAGATTCAGATAGTTCTAGGGACAGCACTGATAATTTCACTGAAGAGTCTCATAGTAAAACAACTACAGTGTCTTCATCTTGGACTACAGAGTCACCATCAGTGACAGCTTCCAGTCAAACTCAAACAAGTAATACTTCAACATCAACTGTAACCATAGCGTCATCACTCTACAGTACTGAGAAACCAACATCAGAATCACCTGAAACAAAAGAGAGTGTATCAACAAGTCAAACTGAGAAACTATCAGCTTCAGCAAAGACAACTTCTACCTTGTCAACGACAGATGAAGATGGATCCGGTGACCAAACAGAAAACATGTTCACTCAGACCTCATCTGTAATAGCAAAATCGTCTCCCTACACCACTGAAGTACCATCAACATCTCCGGTTACATCGTCTGTTACTTCTGAAATTGAGGTGGAGGACATTGGCAGTGAATCTACAATGGTGGAGTCCATTTCTCTCATCAGTGAATCAACCATGACGCTTGAAACATCATCATTCCCCATAACCATAGATTCAGATAGTTCTAGGGACAGCACTGATAATTTCACTGACGAGTCTCATAGTAAAACAACTACAGTGTCTTCATCTTGGACTACAGAGTCACCATCAGTGACAGCTTCCAGTCAAACTCAAACAAGTAATACTTCAACATCAACTGTAACCATAGCGTCATCACTCTACAGTACTGAGAATCCAACATCAGAATCACCTGAAACAAAAGAGAGTGTATCAACAAGTCAAACTGAGAAACTATCAGCTTCAGCAAAGACCACTTCTACCTTGTCAACAACAGATGAAGATGGATCCGATGACCAAACAGAAAACATGTTCACTCAGACCTCATCTGTAATAGCAAAATCGTCTCCCTACACCACTGAAGTACCATCAACATCTCCTGTTACATTGTCTGTTACTTCTGAAATTGAGGTGGAGGACATTGGCAGTGAATCTACAATGGTGGAGTCCATTTCTCTTATCAGTGAATCAACCATGACGCTTGAAACATCATCATTCCCCATAACCATAGATTCAGATAGTTCTGGGGACAGCACTGATAATTTCACTGAAGAGTTTCATAGTAAAACAACTACAGTGTCTTCATTTTGGACTACAGAGTCACCATCAGTAACAGCTTCCAGTCAAACTCAAACAAGTAATACTCAACATCA